CAAACATGGGCTTGGCTTTTTTGGTCTTTCTTGATTTTGTATAATGTTAGAAGATATTAGTATTAGACATATGCTGAATTTCATTTATGTGGTGCTGATAAGAAATGGATAATGAAGGTATTATGTTGTAAATTTTAAGTTTTGTAAGCAGCATACACTGCAACATTGTGTAAAATTATGCAACATAGCACACTGGCCAAAACATAGGACATAACACACTGCCAAAAAGTATACCTAGATCACAAGCATTCCACACTGCCAAAAATCTTTGAGCTTACGCTGCATACTTTGTTTATTAAAGTTATTCAAGCACTAGTCATTTTGGTAAGTTTTTGTGTCCGCTTCCAATGGAACTCAATGAATAATTTATTACATTGGAATTTTTAGATATAAATCTCATTCGACCAAAACACACTAGGCAAACATGGTCATAGGACATTTCCAAAAATGTAGCTAGAAGTTGATTATTTCACACTGTCAAAAAAATATCAGCCCCTATTCAATAACACGTTTCCATAACGAACTCTTGAATGTTCAAATCCACTAGTCATAGAACGAAGCACATGGCTTTTGCACAATATGAAATTCAATTCATAATTTATAACATTGACAGTTTTATATGTATGTCTAATTTCACTGCCATATTATTAATGGAAGTTAATGAAGTACATACAAATTTGTTTAGGTCGCTAACTTTTATACACTGCCATATTTTCACTCTTGTCTGCCACATTATATATAGAAGACAAATTCACTGCCAAAAATTGTTTGCATAACATGATCAATCTGTACTGCCCATATATTTATAGTCACCATATTGAGTAACACATTTCATAACAATATTTTTCACTGTAAAACCCTATTGTCATAAAATCAACCACAAGCTGCTTGCACAATATGAAAGTCAAATAATAATATATAACATTGGTAGTTTTATATGTAAGTCAAATTGTCACCACTTGTTTATAAAAATTTTTATGTAGTTTTTTAATATATAATTCCTATTTTTTAATTATACAATAATTTTTACGTATATTGATTTGAAAATAACTTCAATCAAACATCGTAAATCGAATAAGAACCCTATTTTGGGATGAAGGAAGTATTTATAATTGGCATATTTTTATGATATAATTTTGATATATCGTATTTTTATTATATATATTTATTCAAAACTACATTTAATTGATTGACGAAAGAATTTGATAAAAAAGAGTACTATGCCACTATGCACAAAGTATACATTATGTGAGTCCGAATTCGATATAGGAGTTGAAAGAGGAATTGAAACAATTGATAGTGGGATAGATAAAAGGGATTGACAACATAAAGGGTATGATTAGAAGAGGTTGAAAACATAAATAGCTAATTTGGTAAAAAACAATAAGCAGTGCTAAATGTATAGTATTAGATGAGTTAGAGTGCTACGTAGGGTGATTTCTTTTTTTTAATGAATGTAATTTTTTTTAATGAATGTAATTTTTTTATGGATGTATTTTTTTATGAATGTAATATTTTTTTAGTGAATGTATTTTTTTAATGCACTAGTTTCATTGCGATTAATTCAAATAATAAATTAGTTACATTTTATTAATTTAATTTTAGAAGATGTATATTTAAAAATGTAAAAAGTGAAGGTTTGAAGCCCAGTTTGTAGCCCTGAGGCTTCAAACCCATTTCCAGTGAATTTTGGGTGTAAGTTAAAGCTAACGTGGCAGAGAGAGAAAGTTTGAAGCCCCAATTTGAAGCCCCGGGGCTTCAAACGTATTTCCAGGGCTCTAATATTTGGAGCCGCTTGGCTATTGAATAGAAACTAGATTCAATTACTGGTTTTCGAAATTGATCATCTATAATTAAATGTTATTTTAAATTAGTCTATTTTTGATATCAAAACTTATTTTATATGAAAAACCGAAGCCATACTCTTCCCTTTTAATTGACTTACGAAGTTTGAGTGAAGCAGAGAAAGCATTTTTTTTTGAGTTTTTATTTTAAAAATTATTTAAAAAAATATTCTATTAGAAATGATCATTTTGAAAAATTAGTATAAGTTTTAATGTCGTTTAATTTTGGCGCCATTTTGATGGCGCTTAGTCGGTAGGACTAAACTAGGCATTATTTTCAATTAACGAGTACCATCTCGATAATTAGTTTATCTTAGAGACTAATTTTAAAAAACACATACTTATTGAGTATCATTTTTAGAATTTACTGTTTTAAAAATGAAAACATATCGCAACATTACCTTATTCTCATCATTATTCTCTCCATACATTAAAGTTTTTATATTAAAAATTCTCGTAATATCTGAATTTTAGAAGACAATAGATTTGAATCAAAATTAAGGTCTTTTGTGTCACAAATTCTTGTATGAACCAAATGAAAATCAACCCTTTAATGAGCCATACAATCAAAAAGTTCCAATAAGTGAGTTATACTTAAATATAGGGATACACACATATGAAGGTACAATACAAAAGTTCCAAATAAGTGAATTATATACTTAACTATTACCCTAAAATGTGACTAAATCCAAGTTTGATTCAATTTGTATTGTCGTTTTTAATGAACTAAAGTAACTTTAATCTTGTTTATAAATTAAAAAAGTATTACAAAATCTGTTAGAGTCGGGACATAATTAAAAAAAGTCTCTAAATGAAGAATTCACTTTTACCTTTTTTGAAGCATGTAACCACGGACATTTACTTATGTGTAGCAACGGGTAATGTTGGGCCTTCCGGAGGCTTGTTAGTTGGCCAGTCCAGCTCATGTTCGAAACCATAGGTTTTGGCTCTCCTTATATATAGAGCTCTTGTATTTGTAATTATTTAAGACCACAAGTAAAATAAAATTTCTCATGTTGCAATCGTTAATTAGAGAAATTGAACCACGTTAAATTCTTGTGTGTTTTTTATGTTCCGTTTTTCTTATTTCTCGCAGATATTTGTGTGTGTTGTGTGTTTAATTACAAACAGTTATGAGCAGAGGCGGATCGAGGAATCGGAAACCATGGGGTCCCGTTTTTTAAATTGTAAACATATATTTATACTACATAATTATTTACACACTATAAAAAAAATAAACCAAAAAACATATTATCTAAATGAACATTCAAGATATGGTTCTCAAATAGATTTTTCAAAGTTATAACTTCTACATCTGACAATTTTTTTAAGACAAAATTTACTAATTGGATATGATTTTTTTTTTGTCAAAAGCCTCAATTTAGAACAAAAGATTTAGACATATTCATAATCTTTCTTTATCACACTTTAAGAATGGAAGTAAATTGTAAAACGAATACAAATAGAATGAAAATTAGATTTATTTAGGAAAAAGATACTTGTAAAAAGACTAAGAAAAATTGTAAACTCTCTACATGCATCAATATATTCTATACCCACAATTTTGTGAATAACCGGAAAGAGTACAAGTTTGAAATTTTATTGTTTTATATTCAAAATAAATTAAAACTTCGAAATACATTTTTTAGGTTTTCATGTAACAATGGGAAATGAGATCAACTAAAGTATGAGGATAGAAGTGATTTTAGTAGATTGGAGATTCTCATTTCATTTTCAACCTCCACTAAATTTTGAAACCACTCATAAAAGAAATAAACTAAGGTAGTGTCTGGCAACTAGCATTTCATTTCAATTCATGCATTTCAATTCCAAAATTTAAAATCTTGAAATTCAAATGACAAGAGGAGGAGCATGGATTTGAAATTAAGCTTTGTTTTGAATGAAAAGAATTTGACTTAAATCCAAATTCAAATTTTTTAAGTTTCCCAAACATTTGATTTGAGCTAAATCCGGATTTAAAATCCAAATCTATGTTCCCAAACATACCATAAAGAAATTCAAATAACACCATATCACGTGCATTTGGATAGTTTGGTTGTCAAATTGAAAGAATTTTAATAATTTTTTAATATTTAGGGTTCGTTTGGTACCTAGAATTGACAGAATTAAAATTAAATTGAAAGTTAAAATTTTGTAGAATTGATTTAGATAGAATTGAATTTTCCGACTTGAATTTATTTTTGGCAATATCAGTTCCAAATCTACATATTTTTGTGCTACCAAACAGTAGAATTGAAGTTGTTATCTCAATTTTCAATTCTATCGTTTGAATTCCGGGTACCAAACGAGACCTTTAAATTGAAAGCATAATGGAGTAATGCGTTTTAATAAAAAAAAACACTACCTCAAAAAATTCAATAAAATGAAAGAAGGAGTGCAGAGTCGAACCCTAGAACTCCTCTCAAAACTTTAGGTTGCGCTTCCGCTTCACCATTCCGTGTAGTGGTTATAGACAGGCTTTTTGTGTATATAGATAGACTAATCTCTTAGGATACCTAATATATATAAAATCCTACGTGGAGGTCCGTGGGGTCCCGGGACCCCGTAGGACTCAATGTGGGTCCGTCATAACTTATGAGAGTTCCCACCACTACTTGTATACTTATGTAAAACTATGTTACCCGCACGGGTAGCCCAAGTGGCAAGCACTTGGTGAAGTTTGGAGAATGACCAAGGATCGAAACCTGGCAGCGACCGTTGTGGGGGCGACCACCTCTGAAAAATGGGGGGAGTCTCTGGTGCGCACTAGAATATGGTCTAGCTAAGTGTTGTTGCTTGGGTCACCGTGATTTACCTCCTCTCACATTCCCGTCGGGTCGGGGGTGAGGGGCGCTCGGGGTGAGCGATTTCACCTTTTGGAGAATGTAAAACTATGTTTAACTGTATGGGGGATATGATCATTTATTTTGTTCTATTAATTAGAGGGTCGGGTCCTCTTTTAAAAAATTTAAAATGGTCTGGGTCTGCCAGGTCCTTATAAATTTTAGGGTCGGTCCGGTTCCCAATTTTGAAAATGTTTTAGACCCTGACCGGATCGTTTATTTTAATCCCCAATATTATTTTTTCTTTTTAGTAAATACTAAATGGCAAATACACTGGGTCACTGGCCGCCTTAGCCTTACGAGTTATGAAGGAGTTACGTTGTTACGCCCTAAGCCCTACAATTCGCCAAATTGGGAATCGCAGAGATCGCCGAGCTTGTGTAACGGTGAAATCGCCGAGCTTCAGAGAATAGAGAACGCCAAAATCGCCGAGCTTGTGTAACGCCAAATTGCCGGTTCTTTCCAATCGCACGCAGAAGTTGCCGGTTCTTTTGAATTGGGCACGCAGAATCTGCCGAGCCTCCGAGCACAGAGAACGCAGAAAATAGTCGTGCTTCCTGTGGTATGTTTATCTTCCCATCTCATCTCTTATTGAAATATTCACTTCTTCATTTTTAATACTCCCTCCGTCCTGAAATTAACTTCCCATTTGACTTTTCACGATCTCCAATGCGGTACTTTGACCATTAATATCTTCATTTTTATATGAATATATATTATCAAAATAATATATTTCAAAACTATGTTCCAAAATGAATCTATGATACCAAAAACTTTGACTGCAAAAGTCAAAATGGAAAATTAATTTTAGGACGGAGGGAGTATTTGATTTTAGACACCCGGTGCCCGGTTGTATTCAAATTCAATATGATCCAATTAGACTACTCTTTAAAAACAAGTTGATTGTTGGTTTGGGATACTCAGATTCTTTTGAAAAATTTCTTGTTGAAAAATTTCTATGTTGAGCAATTTATGTTGAACAAGAGAAATGAATTTCTTGTTGGGATACTCAGATTATGACTAATGTATCTTGAAAAATTTCTTGTCACAGAGCATTATGTTCCTAAACCAGCTTTTGTCTGGGCTGGGAAGGGCAAACTGCAAAGGCAGTTGAATTCTTGGTTACAGGTCAGTTTTGTTACTTTTGTATGTGGATGTGTGGCCTTCAATTATTCACACCTCAATTCCTCATAATCCACCATCCAATTACCCTTTGAAGGCATTATTCTATAATTTCTATTTGTTTTGGAGAATGTTAGTATCATGATAGGTTCAGACCCATTGACCTGTGGAATTGGCCTGTTTCAAACAAGTCGGGTTCGGTTTGCTTTCAATTTTAAAATTTTGAAAACCCGTTCCGGCCCGAACCGTTTTAATAAAAACAAGCCGAGTCCGATTTATACAAATTTTGGCTCGGACCGACCCGTGTCCACCCCTAATTGTAGGTACTTTGCAATTTGGGACTCTTAAATTAATGAAAAAGGTATGGATCTATATATTTATTCTAGAACTCTAAAGCATAACTAAATTGAATTTAATTTAAGAGTAAATTCTATAAAAGATCCTCAGTTATAGTCCGTTTTACATATTTAGTCCCTACATATCAAATATCAATAATTTAGTCCTCAATTATTATATTGTTTTCCACGACTGGTCTTTGTTAATATTTTAGTAAAAAACGTGGATAAAATTGCAAATTCACGCTCTTCTCTGTCATCATTTAAGCTTCCTCTCTCCTCTCCCACTCATTTTCCAAACCCGTCGCTGAGCTTGAAGATTTGAACCCAAAACCGAAATCATCACTCACTCTCAATTGTTTGTCTTCTTGGTGGAATCCAAAATTAAAACTAGTAACCTTCATGGATGAGTTTTAAGGTTTCTTTTCTTTTCAATTTTCTGAGATTAACCCATAAAACTCATCAATGAAGAGTATTGGTTTTGATTTTGGGCTCTCGAGTAGCTTAGTCGCATTTGTAGATTATAATTGTAATTTCTTGATGGGTAAACCTACACGAGAAACTAAAGAGTTTGTGATGAGTATATTGGGTCAATGTATAATTATTAATATAATATGCCCATTATGTTTGGACCTGAGGAGAAAACCTGGGGGAATTGATGGGTTGAACCCATCTAGGCTACAAGGTATACTTAGAGTCTGTTCTTTAGGGCTTAAACTCTTAACTTTCAGTTTCTTCTAGTTTCTTTCAGTTTCTTCCAGTTTTTCTAGTTCCTTCTAGTTTCTTCCAGTTATTTTCAATTTCTTCCAGCTTCTTCCAACTATTTTCATTTTCTTCACTCTTCCAACTATTTTACAACTGTTGTGTTCATAACTATAATTTATAAATTATTTTTTCATTTCATTATTTTTAAGATTCACACTCATTATTTTTCTTCAACTTTTTAATATGAATAAGACAATTTTTTGTATATTAATCTACTTGATAAAATAGGAAAACATCAATATTTTAAACTATATTAAAAAATTATGGATAAAATAGTTACATAGAATGTTTTATTAATCTAGCTTTATATAAGATCTCTCACCTTTCCATTTTATTACTCAAAATTTTTTCATTTTTTTAATTTTTATAAAAAAATTGAAAGTCAAAATAGTTTAGAGAAAAAAGAGTAAAATAGGAGTAAAACATAAAAAATGTAAAAAAAAGTTCTATGTCAATCATGAAAAAATAGGTTTGATTACATTATGTGACACGTCTAATATTTAAAACAAAATCTTGTAATATATAAAGTATAATTACAAATATATTCTTTATAATAAATACTGCATAAATAAATTGAGGGGCAACGTAACCACAAAAACTTTTTAAAATTTAACATTTTGATATTTATTCTAACTTTATATTATAATTATTTTTATTGCAAAAGTAGTTTTTTGTATTTGAAAACTAATAATTTTTTTATCTTAAAAGCATTCATTAAAATAACGTGGTGATGATGATGATGATGGTGATGATGATATAATAATAATAATAATAATATAATAATAATAATTTATAACAACAAGCATTAGAATTAGATTAATATAAAAATGCACTAAAATAAATTTTTTAAAAAGTTTTTTTAGGTTTTTCAATTTTTTGAAGTTTTTTCTAGTTTTTTTCATATTTTTCTAGTTTCTTCCCGTTTTTTCCAGTTTTTTAGTTTTTCCAGTTTCTTCTAGTTATTTTCAGTTTCTTCCTGTTTCTTCCCGTTTTTTTTCAGTTTCTTTCAATATCCAGATCTTTTTTTCCAATCCTAAAGAACAAGTTCTTAATGGGATGGAGCCGTGAGTCTAGGGTTAGTAACTTGGGGGAGGTAGGGGTGTTCATCGGGTCAAACTCCAACCGGACCGGGACTTAATAAGAGAGACTTTGTGGACAGAGGACCAGACCAAATAAGGTAAGGACCAGCCCAGGACCAAACCGGTAAAACCCAGACCGGACCGAATAAATGTGATTTTTTATTTTTTTAAATTTAATTTTATTTATTTCATTTAAAGTATTCAATTATATAAAAATATTACTAAAATTAATTTTTAATGTGTAACATACACTAAACATTTTCAAACACTGATGCTTTTAATTTTTTTTAAAAAAACTTTAAATAAAATATATATCCCCCATCTATATTACATAAAATTTGTTTATAATTTTTATTTTACATATGAAATATTCTTGTTCTTACTCTATTTTTACTTTTTTTGCTTTTGGTTTATTTTGGTAAACAGATACTTTTTTACTGTTTTTGTTCATGATATTGTTTACAATTTTATTTTGTTTATTAGAGTTTTATTACTGATAAAGCACAAACTTAAGTTATAGTATTCGTACATAAATTTGAAATGTATTTAGATCGCTAATATAAAGATAATATTTACTTTTTTCACACTTTTCATGTTAAAAATATTTAAATATAATTGGAATTGGTATCTTATTTTGAATGGGAATATATTAAAAAAATTATATTAAATAATAAAATCAAAACATTTGAAAAAGTTTTAGTATTAAAGTTAAATTAATTTTAAGCATAAGAAAAAAAACTTAATAAACTATATTAGAAAATTGTATATATAGAAAGAAATCTTAAAAAAAGAGTAAATTCCATAAATGGTCCCCAGTTATATGTAGTTTTTCATATTTAGTCCCCAATTATAAGATATTCCATATAGAGTCCTCAATTTTTCAAAAGAATTCCACAAAGAGTCCTTTTCACCAAATATGACCAAATATTTAAAAAAAAACTCAAAATGGTCCTTTTTTATAAGGTTTTTTCTCAAAGTAATCTTTAATAAGAAAAAATTACTAACGTTGTCCTTTATAATTGAGATGTGTTTCCTAAATACAGAGTAGTTTTTTTAATAAAAATGTCTATTAAATGAAAGTTAAACAAATGATACTTTTATGATCTATAATATCTAAACTATGAATATATCTTCAAAATAATTTTTTAAAATTAAGTGGGAGGCTACTTGAAAAAGAGACCCACCCTGAGTTGACTCAAGGACTCATTTTGAAAAAATGTTTACTTAAAAATTATCAGTTTGAAAAAAATACTTAATTATAAAGGAGCATTTCGAGAACATACTTTAATTTAAGCCTAAATGATACTCCATCCACCCCCTAAGATCTTCTCATTTTGAATTCTTATGGTTTTTGTAACACCCTAATCCAGGTCCGCAACCACATTCGGACTAAAGTATTTTTAACTTGGTAACCGTAAAAATTTAAAACTTTTCAAACACACTTTATTAATCTCAATAATATTTTTCATAACATATACAGTACATGGTATTCGATAATATTGTGGAAGCGAATTTAATATTGACATATCATAAATCATTTCAAACTTGTCACATCCTTCCCGACAATCTCGCCCCATCTACCACCAGGATCACATTGTTCTTTCTGTTTATCTGCGTATAGCAAATAAAACACACTACACGCTCAGCGGTAAAGCTGAGTAAGCATATCTAAAGCGTCGAATATCTACATAAATTGAATCCCATTTCATAATCAACCATTTGATATCATGCACATAATGTTCAGTTCATATATTCATTTTTCAACATTCATTATTCCATATTCAACATTCATCATTCAAATTCGATATTCAACACTCGTATTAAACGATTCTTGTCTAAGGCCAATCCTTAAGTGTATCCAACTCTTAAGCTAGATCATTAGTTTAAGTACATAAATTTCGTCTTAAACTAGCCTTCGCTTAAGGTACCATACACATAACCGAGCAGTAGAATACTAACTGTCGGGTTGGGTGGTATCCCCAAACGAGTGATCCTCAAGTTTGGTTTATGGACCTCGTACGTACGTTTTTACCCAAGGCCACCGAATATACATTTTATACCCGCAAGGCCCATTCTAATCAGAGGTCTATCTTAGAGGTATTCTAAGTAGCCTTAAAAACACTATTCATTAATCCATTATTCTTAATTTAACAATTCATGATCATCATTCAGAATATTCATCATCATTAATTCATCAAATCAATCAAACAATCATCATAATATCTAATAACAAATAGCGGCCTAGCATCGAGTGTTAACACCCTAGCTTACCGTCATGCATCACATATGGTCCTCAAAACATCATTTTTATTCCAAGAAATCATCTTTATATTAATCATAATTGATTGGTATCAAAAATAGGATTCCATAATTCAAAAATCATGTTTTCTAAACAATAATTGATTAATATATTATAGGAAATTCAATTATTAACTATTAGCTTCATTTTCTTCAATAGTGTAGGGAGACAGTCTACTGTCACTTCTGATAATCTACTATCTTATGTTCAGAATGGTCTGATAATCGATTATCAAACTTCAGAGAGGGCTGAAAGTCGATTGTCACATTCTGATAGTCGACTGTTGCTCAGCTATGTTCCAAAAATCTGCAGAACGATGAATAATCGATTTTTAAATTGATAATCGATTATCCATCGTCTTCTAGCTCGAGAAAACTTGCAGAAATGTCACTTTTACTTACCAAACTTCAATTAAAGTATATAAAAGTGTTCCCCAAGGTTCATAGATCATTTTGGCATCATTTATTCATAGTTTTAACTTCAAAATCATGGTTTGTGTTTCTTAGTTCTTCAAGCATGTTAAACACAAAACTCAACCAAATGAACATTTATAAACATAGAAACGACCTATATGAACATTCTAGTTATTAGATATATCTACGGTCTTACCTTGAAGCTTAACGGAGGTTTTAGAAATTTTCCGGTGAAACTTCCGGCGATGATAACTCTCAACTCCGACGACTTTACACTAAATTGACAACACCACTGCGTTCTCCTCACTCTGAGCAATAGAATAGGACGAAATATTTTGAGAAATAGTGAGGAAATGGTTAAGCTTTGGTAGTCTTATATAGGAAGGAGATGACGAAAACTTCCAAGCCTGCTGTATCATTCCAATCGGCGTATCCTTGTAGTGGAGGAGGCGCAGTCTCTACAGTGTCCCTGATTGGGACCAATTTTGGTTTCAGTCGGGGTACACTTTTTGGTTCAACTTTCTCCGAATTGAAATCTGTTTGCACCTTTGCGATCAGACAATCGAATTCTATCAAACTATATAATTTTTATATTTATTTGAAATATTTTTTCCGACATCATATTTTTGAGTGTTTGACTTTGATAGAGTCAAAATTGGTTTATTTGACCTTTATTCAAAAAGGTTCTCACATTTAATTCATATCATTTGTTCTCATGATTTATTTCAATAAATCATTTTAAAGTTCATATTATAAATAATTTCTTCAATTATTCTTGATTTGGGTCTGTACTCAGGTTTCAATCAAGACCACACAAATAGTCAACATATTGGATTTATCTCTATGAGACTTATCCAGATTTTGACATTGGATATTTAAACATATTTCATATCGGCCCAAAGCCCAACAATAATTTATCTTAATAAAAAAAATTTGATTAATTGAATAATTATTCATTGATAATTCTAGGGTATGTTTTGGGGCGTTAGAGTGTTTATGGAAAGTTGAAAAAGTTGAAAGTTTACCATAATATCTTTAATGAAAATGGATGGAGTGTATTAAATAAGGTAGGTGAGGTGTAATAAATAAAGTAAGTGAATGTAGTTATGATGTTTTAATGGTTAAAAAGGGTAATGAGAAGATCTATGGTGGACAAATAAAAAGGTCTAATGAGAATATCTATGGAGGACGGAGGGAGTAGATAATATCAAAATACCATCTAACTTAGTTACATTTAATAGATATTTTAGGCAAAGGGCCATTTAGGAAATAAATCAAAATTATAAAAGATCACGTTGGTAATTATTGTTTATAAGAAGCCTCCCACTAAATTTTTAAAAAATCATTTTGAGGACTCATTCCTAATTTAGATAATACAGAGCATTAAAATATCTTCTATGTAATTGTTGTTTAATATGCATTTTTGTTAAAAGACTATTAAGGAAACACATATGAATTATAAAAGACCATGTTAATAAATTTTACTTATTGAAGATTACTTTGAGAAAAAACTTATTAGAAAGTATCATTTTGAGAACTTATTCAAAATATTTTGTCATATTTGGTGAAAAGGACTATTTGTGGAATGGTTTACAAAAAATAGGAATTGTTTATAGAATATCTTATAATTGGAGACTAACTATATAAAACTACATATAATTGGGGACCATTTATGAAATTAATGTAGTCGATCAATCAGTCCGGACTGAAATCCGGTGGATCGGACCATACCGGAACCCGAATAAGAAAAATGTGAGGACCAAACACCAGACCAAATAAAAACTGGTCTGGACTGGTCTGATCCGGTTTTGGCCAGGTTTCGGGTCGGTACGGGTGCGGACCGAATAATGCACACCCCTAGGGGGAGGGCTTACCTAAGTTTTCTAAGATAAGTTTAGTAAGATTAGGAAGCTAAATACCCCCAAGGAATACGGTTAAAGAGAGAGTTTTTTCATTCTAAACCTTGAGTTGAGTATTCTTGTTTCTTAGCTTATTCAATATTTTTTCTGTAATTCGTGTGAGATTAAAATCCAGTTTAATTAAATTTCAAAGGTTGGAGACTAATATTTGAATCCAAAGGGTGAAACATTAAATTTGAAAATTTTGAAGTAAGTCTAAAGAGTTAGTTCTCTTTTGTCTAACTTCATTGAATCAGATTCATACTTTTTCTATTCAGATTTAATTTTCCATTAACTTTTTACAATTTCTTTTGTAATACTTTAACCATTAATATTAATATTTATATATAGAATATCCTATAAAGAAGTTAATATTTCAAAACGATGTTTCAAAAAGAAACCTTTGATCTTATATTTATATCAAAACACAACGTATTTTAAAATTTATAAACTTTGAGTAAGAAAAATCAAATTGAAAGGAACATTAAATCTAGAGGAGGTAATTTTTCAGGCTGATTCGATATGATTGCAAAGCAATTTGAAGATATTGTTGATCTCATCATATCTAAACTAATTTGATTTGAATTATAAATATAATAAGTAAAAAACATAAGTTAAAAAGAATAGTGGCTAAATAAGAATTACATCCATCTCTGAGTATTTTTTCAAGTTATAGATTTTTGTATTCAGTAAGTTTTAACCTTTGATTTATAATTAAATAAAAAGAATTGTATATGATTTATTAATTAAATAAAATAATATATTGAAAATATTTTGTGAAATAAATATAATAAATTATTTATGCACTAATATCTAATATCAATTTTACTTAATTATCGGTCAAAAGTTATTAATTTTAATTACTATAAAAAATCAAAATTAGACATATACTCCAATTATGCCTAATTTTCATACTTTGACCCAGCACGGAGATTAAGGAATGTTAATTTTTACATTGACTTTCCAATTATGCCCTCCTCTTTCCCTGCCCCACTATACGGTCACCCACTACCCACTCCTTCAATGTCCGATCGGACATCTTCAACCGCCGGCAATGCCCTGCCGCCCAACCCTATCATTCCAAAATAAAAGAGGCATGAACAGTGCCACAGATCTTCCCAAGAGAATTTCCCGTTGATTTTGTGGTCCATTTTTTATGATTATTGGTTCCTTGGATTCGCATATCCATGTAGAAGACTAATTTCAGCTCAATCTTGAAGATTTGTGGAGGAATTCAACTCAATTGAAGGTCAACCCTAGCGCAGACACTGTTCACAGCGGCACTTGGAGGGCTGAATTTCTTTGGTTTGCAGCTGTTTTGAACTCCATTTTTTGAGGTATTGTGAGCGACTTGGAGTGCCTAATCACATTCTTAAGTTTGTGGAGCAATTCCAACAAGAATTTGTGATTTTTGGCTCAAATTGGAATTTCGGGTACTGTATCCATCACATAGATCTGAATTATATTTTTAAGATCTGGACTAAATCCGAATAATCTGAAGAAGAAAATGAAGAATCCGAAGAAGAAAACGAAGAATCCGATCAAGGAGAAGAAGAAGAAGAAGGAGAAGGGAAGAGAGAGGAGGAAGAAATCTGGAAAAAGAAAGAAAAGAAAAGACAGAGGGGAAAGAAGAGAGGAGAAACAGAGGGGAGAAGAAGAAGATGGACCGCTGGGAATGGAAAAGGAAAGAACACAAGAGGGAAAGAAGAAAAGAGAGAAGAAAAAAGGAAAAAAAGATGGAAAAAGGTTGGGTTGTGTGGATAGTGGAGGAAAAGAGAAAAAGAAGAGGATAGAAAAAAGTAAGGGTAATTAAGTCTTTTGACATAAAAAAGATTACCAAAAAAGTAAATGTGAACTAGGGGTGTATACGAATCGAAGCAAATATATCACTATTCGATTCGTATTCGATTAAAGTGATATGTATTCGAATTCGGATTCGTATATAATTCGAATTTTAAAAAACATTTGTATTCGATTCGATAGATATTTGACATATTTGAATTCGTATTCGAATATTCAAATTCGAAAATATTAGTAATTTTTTTCTTAAAACAAATTTCTTAAAGACATTAAATTATTATTTTATAATAATGTAAAATGTAGTAAAAATATGTTAGAATATTTAATATATTAGAATATAAATTATAATATTTGAATATATATAAATTTATATGTACACAAATATTTAATATATTAGAATATATATAAATTTATTTATAAATTATAATATTCGAATAATTTGAATAATAAACGAATTGAATCTATTAATATTTGTATTCGAATTCGAATTTAAAATATGATTTGTATTCGGATTCGAATTCGAATATAGTAAATACGAATAATCTTTTTCGAATACAAATCACAAATCGAATACATTTTATTTGATTTGTATGCACTCCTAATGTGAACTTTATTTATAGACGGACAAAAAAAGAAAATACGAACATTAAAAATGGACGGAAGGAATATTAAAAAAAAGCTAATAGTAGAATACCCCGTAGTAAAAAAAACTCTCATCCTATAGGGTTGAATTATGAAATGGTTAAGAATAGGAGGGGTGCTATCAACATATAAAAGCAAAACGTGGGGTGAAATTCAGATTTGTGAAAAGAATTTCATACATTATTCATCAAAACCCTAAACCCCAAATCCATTGCCGCTTTAAAATACCCGATTCATCTCAACTCTGCGCACCTTCTTCTCCACTCCCCAAACCCTAAACGTAAGCTTCCGCCTCCTTCCAATAGCCGATTCGTCACCTCTCGCTCGGAGATGTTGGTCCTGTTTGAAAACCCTGCTGGCTTTGCCATTTTCAAGGTATTGAACGAGGGAAAGCTTTCGAAAGTTGAGGTATGTGTCTGTGCCCGTGTATTTACGCCTGCATGAAGCTTCTTTTGCTCTCATGGACACTCATAGAATTATGGTTTTCTTCATCAGGATCTATGGAAGGAATTTTCTACTGTGGATTCCGCTCGCAAGGTTGGATTTTTGGCTGTTCTTTAATCGTCAATTTGTAGTTGTTTGGGTCTAATAATTTGGCTGGAAAACAGGTTGTGAAGCTAAAAGCATTCTTGAAGTTTGAGAATACCGCAGATGCATTGTCTGCCACTACTATGTTGATCGACAGCAAGCCAAGCAAGGGGCTCCGCAAGTTCTTACGGCTCCATTGTGATGGAGAAACTCTTGCTGTAGCTGATTCGAAGCTTGGGAATGCTATTAAGGAGAAACTGGTATGCTGATGTGATTCTTGTATGAATCCTTGTTGCTGTTTTCCCCCTCTTTAATCTAAAGAAAGCTCTTTTATTGCAGCAAATTGACTGTATCCACAACAATACAGTTATGGAGTTGATGAGGGGGTTGAGAACTCAGTTGACTGAGCTTATTGGTGGCTTAGGTGCTCAGGATTTAGCTCCAATGAGCTTGGGCTTATCTCATAGCCTTTCGAGATACAAGTTAAAATTCAGCCCTGACAAGGTAAACATTCTTTGGATCTTATGTGGTTCTATATGTTTTCACTGTGGTTCTTATCTGATAATATTGTTGTAGTACTAATTTTTGATGCCTCTAAAAATCATGAAATCAGTGAAATTGAATCAGATTCATTAAATTGACAATGTTTGATTACTAATGTAATCTGTATTCTATCCAGGTGGATACAATGATTGTGCAAGCTATTAGCTTGTTGGATGATCTTGATAAAGAGTTAAATACTTATGCTATGAGAGTTCGAGAATGGTACGGATGGCATTTTCCCAAGTTGGCTAAGATTGTACAAGACAATATTTTGTATGCCAAAGCTGTGAAGTTGATGGGCGACCGTACAAATGCTGCAAAACTAGACTTTTCCGAGGTTCTTCCACTCCTTAAATCCGACTTGTGTTATTTGATTTGTTGATTTTTTAATCCATAACCCACTACTCATTCCGCCCCAAAAGGAGTCATTCTACCAATTTACAAATTTAATTTTTGGTTAGATGTAATTGTCATAAATCATCAATCCTAGTATATCATCAGTCCTACAATGACCAAATTTATCATATGTACTCAAGTTTTTCAGTACAAGTACAACACAACAGGGGCAGTAAAGATCCTAGTACAAATCCCACAAAGTTGGGTCTCCGGAAAGTTGAGAGATTTTTTCCAATAAAGTCTTTCATTACAATTGTTTTTAAAAACTATCTTTGTTTGGCTTAAGTGTTTGTTTTTGGACAAAATTGTTTTTGATATATTCCTCTCTTTCCTTTGGGGACCAAAGGAGTATATGTATATGTTGGACAGCTAGATTGAGGAAGTCTTAACTCATCTGGTTTCGGCTTTTCTCATATGCTAGCCACCTGACCATTACTGGAAGTTTATTCCTTAAGAAATGGAATGATGGAACATTTGATGTAGTATACAGCACTCATATTTCCAAAGTCAAATTTTCTTCTGCTCAGCAGCTAAAAGCATTGCATATTTTGGATCTTTGCAGAGAGATTATTAGTTTCCATTGTATATTGAAAGTGTTTTTACTGTGCTATAATATTTAATGAAGAGATTGTTTTTACTGGAAGTTTATTCCTTAAGAAATGGAATGATGGAACATTTGATGTAGTATACAGCACTCATATTTCCAAAGTCAAATTTTCTTCTGCTCAGCAGCTAAAAGCATTGCATATTTTGGATCTTTGCAGAGAGATTATTAATTTCCATTGTATATTGAAAGTGTTTTTACTGTGCTATAATATTTAATGAAGAGATTGTTTTTACTGGAAGTTTATTCCTTAAGAAATGGAATGATGGAACATTTGATGTAGTATACAGCACTCATATTTCCAAAGTCAAATTTTCATCTGCACAGCAGCTAAAAGCATTGCATATTTTGGATCTTTGCAGAGAGATTATTAGTTTCCATTGTATATTGAAAGTGTTTTTACTGTGCTATAATATTTAATGAAGAGATTGTTTAATTATGTTCCTGAAATGCTCATAGGTACTCTCTGAAGAGGTTGAGACAGAACTGAAAGAAGCGGCAATGATTTCCATGGGAACCGAGGTCAATGACCTTGATCTGGTCAACATTAAACAACTTTGTGACCAGGTCCTCTCTCTCTCAGAGTACAGAGCTCAGTTGTATGATTACTTGAAGAGCAGGATGAACACCATCGCTCCGAATCTAACTGTTCTCGTGGGAGAACTTGTTGGTGCTCGACTTATTGCCCATGGCGGTAGCTTGATAAATCTTGCAAAGCAACCTGGAAGCACTGTTCAGATTCTTGGTGCAGAAAAGGCTCTCTTCAGGGCTCTGAAAACCAAACATGCCACTCCTAAGTATGGGCTAATATACCATGCATCCTTGATTGGTCAGGCAGCACCCAAACATAAGGGTAAAATATCAAGGTCTCTTGCTGCCAAAACTGCTTTGTCAATTCGATACGATGCTCTTGCAGAAGGCCAAGACAGTACTATGGGTTTGGAGAATCGGGCCAAGGTACGTGATAATTTTATCTTTTTTTGGATGATGTTATGCAATCTTTACCCTTCTGTATTCTAATAAAATCTTCAATATGCTTGTGACAGATTGAAGCACGGTTGAGAAACTTGGAAGGTAGGAGCTTGAGTCGTTCGGCAGGATCTTCTAAAGGGAAGCCTAAGATAGAGGTTTATAACAGAGATCTTAAAAAAGGTTCTGGGGCTTTGATAACTCCTGCTAAGGTGTGCTTGATCATTCTACCCTGCAATTTTTAAGTAGATTCTGCATGTTCTGTGTGGTTTATTAACTTTTATATCTTCATAGGTTTACAATCCATCTGCTGATTCTGTACTTGGGCACACTGCCAAAGAGGAGAAAAAGAAAGGGAAGAAAAAGATGGATGTGGAAGCTTCTGTTGAAGAGACTCCTGCCAAGGAGGAGAAGAAGAAAAAGAAGAAGGAAGCAGTTGTTGCCATGGACGATGCTGGTGCTACGGTAGAACCTCAAAGCGAAGATGCTGGAAGGAAAGAAAAGAAGGAGAAGAAGAAGAAGAAACATTTAGCCGAGACTGAGCAGGTTGAGAAGAACGAGGATAATGCCGAAGCTGGAGAGAAGAAGAAGAAGAAACATTTAGCCGAGACCGAGCAGGTTGAGAATAACGAGGGTAATGCCGAAGCTGGAGAGAAGAAGAAGAAGAAGAGAAAGCATGCTGAGGCAGACAAGGAAGAAGAACCCGAATCCAGCAAGAAGGATAAAAAGAAGAAGAAGAAGAAGTCTGAAGATTAAGGTGTCTACCTGGAACCTTTGTGAGTTAAAGCTAAGTCCTACATTTCTATTGCATTTTGAGGGTTTATAGGAGGAAGTGTAGATGGAGGGGGCTGGTGCCCATGATGTGTTAAACTTATCTAGTTTTCTGCTTTTTGTTAGTATGTCTTGAATATGACCTTCCAATGACATTTTGCTTTTCATTTAGTTTTGTTTCTTTAATTTAACAAGAGGTGGTTTAATTTCTGTGTTTTGTAATTGTCCATATGCCCTACCTATCCTATGATTTACTAGTACTTTTCTGGAAAGGTGTCAAGTAATGGCCTATTGTTAGTTTTCCTTTTGATACATCTATGGGTCTTTAATTAAACAAAGGATTTTGCTAAGAGGTGTATTTAAGGTTAACATTTTAATAAAAATCCGTGGAATTTCAAAACTTAGGTGTGTTTAGTGTTTACAAATTTGAGGATTTGTTTAGTTTTGAGTTTTTTGATCAATCATTTTTTACTTTTGATTTATAATAAAAATAAAATGTATATTTTATATTAATTAGATAAAGTAATGTTTTGAAAATATTGGATATAATAAATCTATTAAAATTATATTTGTATCAATATCTAATATCATTTTTATTTAATTTGAGATTAAAGTTTACTAATTTTGATTGAAAAAAATAAAAAAATGGACAAATAGGGATGGAGAAAGTAAAATTTTTTAAAATTCAGGTTTATCCATTTAGGATTTTAAAAATTCTATAAGGTCCTGTTTGGTACGTGGAATTCAAATTATGGAATTGGAATTGAGGACTTCAATTCCAATTTTGGAATTTGGTAGCACAAAAATTATGTGGATTCAGAATTGATAGTGCAAAAAATGAATTGGAATTGACAAAATTCAATTCTATGGAATTGAATCCCATGAAATTTAAATTCCAATTCAATTCCAATTCCTCTAATTCCTTATATCAAACGGACCCTAATAAGAATTTTATAAAGCTAGAGATATTGAGATTTTTTAAAATTCGTACAAAGCTAGAGATACTCATACTTAGGACTTTTTATTCGTACTTGCAAAAACTTTTTCACACTATTGTGTAGCTATTGAAGTTGGTTTCCTGTGTGGACTCTTTCTTTTCTTCTTGGACAAGGAGCAACTACTACATTTTAAGGTTTCTTTTTTCCTAGATTTTTTATTGTTATTTATTCTATTGCAATTGCAATATTTGTTTATTCTTTTTCTCATCCAAATAACAAGCAATAAGCTAATGCTTTCGCCGAAAATCAAACTTGGGTGAAATAAGCTAAATTAAAAAATATATTAAGATATTATTGGATGTGATGATGAGAAACATTGAGACCAGATCATATGAAATTATACTCCCTCCGTCCCAAGGTTAATATGAGGGAGTAGCAGATATTTGATTTTGAAAAAAATTAACATCAAGCTCGTACTATATGTTCTATCTATCAATGTTAAGATTACAACTGGAATTGTTTTTTGAAGATTTGAAATAGTTTTTTATGGATTTTTAAGTTAAAGTTAAAACAAGGTTATCAAATGGTAAAATCTCAAAGTTTTTTTAATAATCTAAATAACTTTTCCTGAAATTTTAAATCATGTTTTTACTGCTTTTAATATTCTATTTTTTAAGTCTTAAAACTTGTTTGTTTCTAATTAAATAATCGTATGAAATTTTGTTTTAGTAAAATTGTTTTTTTTGAATAGAATAGAGAAAGTTTAGGAAAAATAAATCGAGATGAATACCCAACAAGTAAAATAGAGAAAATTAATAAATGAGATAATTTTTAAACACAAAAAATTGGGTTTATCTTAAAATATAGTTTTGAAGTATTAAATTTTTTATAAAATTTAATTATTTTAAAGTATATTTAATTTGTGGTCAAATGGTGTCATAGTTTGATCAAAAAAGTCAATTGTGAAACATATATTCTTTATTTTATTAGAAAAATAAAAAGTGTAAGAGTTATTTTGTGATAATCCAAAAAGTAAAGTGTGAAGATTATTTTGAGACGCAGAGAGTGTATTTTTACAAATCTTTTTTTTTGTTCCAAGAAGATTTTTGGTTCACAATTTAAATAACTAGATCTATGTCGACTTCTTTCTTTGCAAAATTTCATACCGGCCAGTCACTTTTTGTTTAGTATCATAGCTCAGAACAAAAAAGTCTTTATGACACAAAGATAGTATGACTATTGCTTCTGTGTTTTTAACCTTAGTCCCAAGATAAAATTTACTTATAAATTACAATTGACCCGATATACAGTAAAAATAGGTTGTTGCATTTTGTATTTTTGTCCATAAAAGAGAAATTGGGGGTATATTTTTATTTGTTGCTAATTATTTTTAAACTTATTTTCATCAATTATTTTTTAAAACAATAAAGTCAAATCAAATCTGATCTTTTTAAAGAACATTTGATGTAATTTATATATATATATATATATATATATATTATTGAATATTTGAATTTTACACAATTATTTGAATAAATTGATGTATGGGTATACAAATGAGAAATTATTTTATTTATGTATGGGCATACAAATGAGAAATGTAACTTGTATATTAAAAAATTAAGTAAAAATTTATTATATATCAAAAGAGCTGAAAAAATATTTTATTTAATAGATTATTTCTCTTACTACGTATTTCGTTATAAAATTCCCAGCTAAAGATGTTGGGTCACTCCTTTGTTTCCATTCGAGCAAATTGACTCTTGACGGGTGGCCATGAATCTATTGGATTATTAAGAGTCTCACTCCATGCACCCATTTGCTTCTTGCTGACCACCCAACAAAGGTTTTATCCACTCTTCTCTTCTCTTCTTAGTTTGCTAACTTCCATTTATGCTCTCTTGAATTCCTTTGATTCATTATTCCCGAATGCTTCTTTTTTATCTGTAATTTCTTGTTCTGTCTATTCTATGGGTTCTGTTGATATTTAGAATGATGATTTTACATGTCCTTGTTTAGAGTTTCTTGTTTTCTGTAACTTATCTGGGTAGGGACATATTTCTGCCAATTCCCACAAATTATGATCTTTTTAGGGTTAAGATCAAGATTTGATCCGGGAAAAGTGGGGTCTACTGGTTGGTCGAATAAGACACTGCTTGATTTTGATTCATGAACATGAAGATTAATCTGTGTGCTGGTTTAAATAAAAAAAAGGGCAGCCTGGCGCGCACAATGCAAAAGGCTGCTTTTAGGACTCGAACTCGTGACCTCCAGGTCACAACGGCATAACCTAACTCGGGGTGCCTAGGCTTGCCTTGTGTGTGCTTGTGTAAATTCTATCTAAATTTTTTCCAATGATATTATTCTTGGTTAATCATTTCTGTGAGTAACAAAGGATATTGGTGTGTAAAGGTGATATTGGTTCAAGAACATGGAGACCATAACCAATGTTAAGGAATATGAAGTCCTCGCAAAGAAGAAATTGCCTAAAATGGTTTATGATTATTATGCATCTGGTGCAGAAGACCAGTGGACTCTCAAAGAGAACAAAGATGCATTTTCTAGGATTCTGTAAGTTTGTTCAGTTTTTCAAGCACAGTCATTGCATGTGGGAACTGTGAATTACCCAAGATTCCTCTCAAAATTCAGTGCCTTTTTGCTTTTAGCATCGGAAAAATCCATTCTTTAGACACTGAAACTGGAATTGGTTATTGAAATAGATTCCGACCACGGATTCTTGTGGATGTGAGTCATGTTGACACAAGAACAACTGTAATGGGATTCAAGATTTCGATGCCCATCATGGTTGCTCCCACCGCGATGCAAAAAATGGCTCATCCTGAAGGTATAAAGGAAACGGATATCGATGATTAAACCTTTTTTCGCTTGATTTTCTTTATTTTTTTCATTCGGTGAAAATCTAGTTTATCGAAATTTTCCAAAAGTCTTCATATGTTGCAGGAGAGTGTGCTACTGCAAGAGCGGCTTCAGCTGCAGGAACAATAATGGTTTTGGATGCATATGCTTCTTTTTTGCTGGCTATTTTTATCTTTTTATTTTTTATATAGTTATTCATTCATTCACTTAATGAAAAATTTCCCCCATAATATTCTGATGAGCTTTACTGTTATCTGGTTGGTGATTTTAGACCCTGTCTTCGTGGGCTACTTCCAGTGTCGAAGAGGTTGCATCCACAGGACCTGGAATTCGATTTTTCCAGCTATATGTATGTCCAAGATTTGCATTATTTGTGTACTTTGTGCTTTGTACTCCCTTAGTCCCAAAAAAGAGCCATGTTTGAGTAAATTAAATTCTTTTAATGAACTCAATCTAGTACAATCTTTTTCCAAGTTAAGATTGGTCACTTATACCTCTACAACTTATTTTAGAGATGGTTTGGAGCAATTGACTATATTATACTTTTAAATTAAAGTTGACTTCTTAGTCCAGACTCTTTTTTCATAGAAAAAACTCTTTTTTAAAAGGTTCTTGGAAATAAAACTTATTTAACCAGGAATCTATTTTGGGATGGAGGAGAGTCTTACAATTTTTTGTTTTAGCTGTATTGTAATGAAAAGAGAAGTTTGTCCACTTAAAAGTGGTAAATAATTGATCTTGGTCATTCCTACACCGATGTTTAACCCCTAAATATGTTCTTTCTCTTACTCAATACTAGTCAATAGTACTCTCTCCATTCTTAATTAACTTTCGGTTTGACTTATGTTATACATTGAAAAGATGTATGAATTTAGACATAATTACATCCATATTATTTTTCAATGTTCCAAGAAAGTGACTAGCAACAACAACAAAAACCAACCCTGTAGAATCCCACAAAAAGTCTGATCTTGGGGGGCTGGGAGTACAAAGAGACCTTACCCCTACCTAGAAGTAGAGAGGTTGTTTCAAAGAGACACCAAAAGGTGATTGTGACAGTTAAATACTTCCTCCGTCCATAAATAAAGTTCCCATTGTGCATTACGATGTTTGACTGAAGTTATTTTCAAATTATTTTATATGAAAAATGGTATGGAGTTATTAAATAAAAATTACATATTTAAAAACTATGTGAAAAGATCTACAAAACTAGAAGTAACATGACTATATTATTTTATCAAATAGGGCTGAAAATAGGCCAACAAAGTGAATAAAGTTTGACCCTGTGAATAGTGAATGGAAACTTTATTGTTGGACGGAGGGAGTAAGAAACAAGTGACACACTACTTCATAGAAAGTAAGAAACAAGTTCACATTGAGCTCTATTCACACAAAAAAGAAGAGGAAATTGTTGTGGGACTAAAATACAGGCCTTAAGCTGTAATTGGTAAGATAGTTACTAGAAATGGTATATAACAATATAACATTCTTGTTTTAGTGTGTTTAGTGACTTTAGTCTAAGGTTGATTTGTTTTCCTTTTGGTACTTTTATTAGAAGTTTGAAGACTCAAAATCTTTCTCTTATTCATCTAGAGCCATCCATATAGTATGATACAGAGTATTAAATGTACCTTCACTAGTAAACGTAGACTGGCTTTTTTAAGGATTGGGAAGGCCCAAAAAATGTGAGACATTAGAGGTTGGATTAGGCCCTATGATGAGTTCCATGTAAAGCTGCAACATATACTTCTTTTTGCTGGCAAACAGACGCTATTCTGCAGTGGATTGTTTATTTTTTTAACTTGCTACTTATCATTCAGGTGTTCAAAGACAGGAACATTGTTGCTCAACTAGTAAAAAGAGCCGAAAGGGCAGGTTTCAAGGCAATTGCCCTCACAGTAGATACGCCAATACTTGGGCGAAGGGAAGCTGATATCAAGAACAGGTATGTAAATACGGACGAGAACTTAGCTGGAATAACAGCTAAGATAAGGGTGTTTAATTTCTGTTTTACTTCCCAAACAGGTTTGTTTTGCCCCCTCATTTAACACTAAAGAACTTTGTGGGATTGGATCTTGGCAAAATAGACAAGGTAACTGTTGAAGAATGCAAATTTATTTCAGGCCATTGATGCTCAAATGTAATGTTTATTTATTTATTTGTTGTAACCAGTGTACATTGTCGTGTGAATCTACAGACAAATGACTCCGGACTTGCTTCGTATGTTGCCAGTCAAGTTGACCGATCACTTAGCTGGAAGGTTAGATCGGGTAATTTAACATATTTAAGCTTCAATAACAATTGCACAATAATCTAATATGTATTGCTGTTTCCCTTTGGAATGATGGACAGGATGTGAAATGGCTTCAGACAATAACTACGCTTCCAATTCTGGTGAAGGGTATATTAACAGCAGAGGATGGTATGGAATGCGATACTAATATGCAATCGCCAGATTATTTTGTAGTAAGGTTGTTTTTTTTCTAGATATAGTCATCTCATTTTTCTGATGAATCGCAACAAGTTCAGCAAAGCTAGCTGTGCAATATGGGGCAGCCGGGATCATTGTATCTAACCATGGAGCTAGGCAACTCGATTACTCCCCTGCTACTATCATGGCCTTGGAAGAGGTTAGCTTGCGTCTCGACACCTCATTTTGTCAAACATGACCTTAGATAGGATAGTTTGGAGGTCGAAGATTAAAGTTGTAGGGTAGTTTGTCTTGGGATTCCGGTTATAGGAGGGAATAACTAGTAACATTCTATATTTAGGTTATCAAAGCTGCACAAGGCAGAGTTCCTGTTTTCTTGGATGGTGGAGTTCGGCGTGGAACAGATGTCTTCAAAGCACTAGCTCTAGGAGCATGTGGCGTCTTCGTAAGTGTGATTCTCATGCCACTATGTTTCCAATTATATAAATATATATATATATACACACACACACATACATATATACATATATGTCAACAAGAAGCATCACTTCAAGTGGTAAAACTTGCAGATTGGAAGGCCAGTATTGTTTTCTTTGGCTGTTGATGGGGAAGCAGGTGTCAGAAAAGTTCTGCAGATGCTTCATGATGAGTTTGAGCTTACTATGGCTCTGAGTGGTTGTCGAACCATCGACGAGATCACCCGCAACCACGTCGTTACTCCGTGGGATGCTCCGCGTGTTGCTCCCAGGTTGTAGAGCCATTGCAAATGTTGGTGTTTTGAAGTTGTTGCATCTCTCTTTGTTGATATGGAGCAATAAGAAAGAAAAACATGAGAATAAAAATGAGAGTTTGCAGTGTGTTTCTTAGCAAGCTTTATGTTAATATTGAGAAATAAGAATGTATCCCAACATTGGTAATCTGTGATTTACTTATTTGTAAATAATACTCCTATTACAAACCTAGTTTGTGTGAGTTTGCCTTTAACTTGAAGTACATCTTTACGAGTAAGTATTGTTTCTAGTCTCTCCGGAATCCCACGCAAAAATTAAATCAAGGGCTATAGGGTTGTGCTAGGGTGACCTCAAAATTTTGACACGCACAGACAATAACACTCGTTGCAGCATCAATAGTTATTATTTGTGTTGTGTACATGCAAAGCATGAGTCAATGGTGGTGTCCAAATTGTGGAATTACCACGATATTTTCTAGCTTATATGAGTAAGAAAATACGTGGTAATAAAGCACTGGAAAAAAAAATAGTTCATTTAAAAAAGATAGATGGTTGTTATGAGCACAATTAAATACTCCCTTCGTCCCGTTTTAAATTGTCTGTTTTGACTTTTGGCATATTTAAGGTAAACAAAAAATAGAATTGATTTTTCGAAATTGTCATTACTTTTTAGAAGGAGTAACTATGAATTAGAAGATAATGTGAAGAAGGGTGACTTATTTTAGGGGTAGTTTAGGTATTTTATTTTTAAAAACTTTACGATAACAACTAACAGGCAACTTATTTTGGGACGGAGAAAAAAGGCAAACATGCAATTTAAATTGGGACAGAGGGAGTAGTTTGTATCGGAAACAAAATACTCTATTTAATTGTTTCGAGTACACCAACCTGCTTTGATCAAACATTTCTTCTTACTTTAACTTTTGGAGATAATGAAAGAACTCTAACTGAATCATGTTTTACTAATGAATAAATTTAGGGGTACACCAAAATGGGATATCTCATTTATACACCAGGCAAACACAGACATTTAGTGTCCGTGATCACAGACACTAATGCCTTTGATCACACACACTAAGTGTCTGTGTTTGTCTGGTGTACAAATGGGGTACTCCATTTTAGTGTACCCCTAGCATGACTCTTTTACTAATAAATGTCACAACAGACGAGGAAGATGAACAGCCCTGAAAAATAAAAATAAATAAAATTTTGAGTTTATAACTTATTCAGAATATTACAAAACAAACAAAGTTGAAAATAAATTTCTAGATCTTCAAAAAACCTTGTTGTATGAGGACATTATGCATTGGATAGCGAGAACATTATGCATTGTACAGTAAGGACATTATGTACTGGGCTGAAGCAGAAAGTCTGGGACGAAGACACTGTGTGAGGCAGAGAGGTCACACTGGGCAGTGGCGAGGACATTAACGCTTGAACCAAACCACCAGTGAAGACATTATGGCCTAGGGCAGAATGCAGCAAGGCCTTTATGAACTGAACCTACAAAACAAAACACCGTGAAGAACACCGGAGTCACCGGAGCTATCCTTGAGGTAGTAGTGCCCGCCTATCGTACCGGAAAAACGTGGGCACTCTCCTCCCAGGATAAAACCGCTATCGTGTGTGGAGATTGTATGGACCAACCACACACCAACGAACAAGAATAACATAGGAACGTTGGCGACCAAAAACTTTGAAAAGGGATTTCCGGAAATTCGGCCGGAAAATCAAGAGCTCTCTCTAAACAACAAGAAAGTATTTTTCTTTTTTTTCTTCCTCAAGTATGAAACACACACCAAATAATGGAGAGCCCCCTTGATATGTTTTTAGAACTAAGCAAATTAAATTAAAAAGTGTAACTTACACAATTTATTCTTAGTATTAAATCATGGCATTTGTGGCTCACTAATGTCGTGTTAATGGTGATTAATTAGCTATTAACACGTCCGTTACACTACACTCCGTTTAAAATTTGTCCTGAATAATTGGAGATTAATGACCAGTTAACTCCAAAAAAATGGACTAATTTTAAACAATATATAAAATTTATAATAGAAGATTGGTTCATTAAAATTGTAAAAATTGCAATCCTTAGCATATTTTTCTACTAACGGGTTAACTCTGAGAATCAATTTCTCAATCACCCTCTACCACTTTGGCATATAATTTATCAAAACATTTATCTCATTTAAAAGAACACACGTCTATTAATTAATGGTTAAAACCGTTAGTGGACCGACCTATTGACAAATATACCCAAATTGATCTATTTAATGCCTATTAAAATGCCAAAAATTCCAACATCTAGCTAGAACCCATAAACCTCCACACATTTAAAGAATGATTGTTTTTTTGTTTCGAAGGTCATTCCTTGCATTTTATTCTTTCTTAGTTTTACGTCTTTTGAACCAAGTGGTATGTAATGTGCTTTACCTAATGTAGAGTCATTTACAAGAGTTTATTTTTGTGCACAAATTTTAAATTGGACAAAAGTATTCATAGTGGGAATTTGTGACCGTGACTTCCTTTGTATATGTGAATGCATTAGTCACATGATTTGCGATCCTTTGTAAATGGAGGAGTATTTTTACATTGCTTGCTCACATGCATTTCTTTTTTAATCAAAATATCACATGTAATTATTTTTTGTAGATGGGTTCATTATCTTATTCTTCTCCCTAAAGTTGGGAACAATAATTGAAAATTGTCTCATCAAAATGACACCGTGCTATAAATATGTAACCAGTCATGGGTTGGAATATATTATAGTTGAGGGATTATAAATTAAAATAATTTTGAATCCTTTGTGGACTTGTTTTCTGTATAATGTGGTGGAGTTATGTGTTTTTGAATCCTTTGTGGACTTGTTCATATATATGGCTCTTTTCTATTTATCAATTACTCTCTCCTCCATTCTAAATAAATCTTCCTTATTTTTTCTTTTGGATTGTCATAAATTAATCTTTATTTTTCCTTTTTTTGGAAAACCTTTTGTCACTCTTCTTTTTTTCTCTTCTTCTACATCACTTTCAACCATATAATTTTACTTTTCTTAAACTTCGTTCAAAGTCAAACTAGGAGGATTAATTTGAGATACATCGAGAATAACTGAGAAAATTTATAATTTGCGCGCAGTTAGACCTGGTGAAACAGAATCGGAATCGATTACCCGAATCGAGTTATCTGAAAAATGAAGATTCGATGTATAATCAAAAACTTGAAATGATCTGAACCGAACCAAAACCGAACTAAATAATTCATGTCAGATTTAAATCTGAAACCCATTATATCTGAACCGATTAAATCCGAAACCGATTAGATCCGAAAATGATAATATCCAAAACCGATAAAACCCGAAATTGATAATATCCGAAATCAATTAAAACTAAAACCGATAAAATCCAAAACTATGTTTGCCTTTCAATAAGCATATTATATTTTTAAATTTTTACTTTTATTTTACCATTTGAACTAATTACATTGCTTGCTGATTCCCTCATAAAACGAATTACCATCTTTAAAAAAATTATAAAATCTCATGCCTTAAATTGATTATATTTAAAAATTGAACAAACGTTATACATATAAAATATGGGATGAATAAAGTGAGCCAACTATTTTACTACCCGGAGTATTAACAAAATTTAAGGTAATAAAATATTTAAAAAACAAGGTGAAGCATTAATTGAAAGAAATTAGGTTTGGGAGTTGAAGGTGATTGAGAATTGAGATTTGGGTTGAAGGGTAGCCTAAGAAAATTGATAAGATTAAGAAGGAAAATTGAAAAAGAATGGGGGAAACTTTGACTTAAGGGGGGAAGATTAGACATGAAAAATTAAGTATTTGATTAAATATTACTACCCCGTCCCAGTGTATTTGTCCAGTTTGACTTTTTCGAGTCAAACTGGACAAACTTTGAACTCCAATTACTCTCAATTTATATTGCATATTAGCAAAATGAAATACAATTTTAAAAATTCTCAATACGATAAATCCAATAGTCATTTTTATGTTAAAAAACATTATTATTATTATTTAATTGAAATTCAAAGTTTGTCCAGTTTGACTCGAAAAAGTCAAACTAGACAAATACACTGGGACAGAGGGAGTATGTTAAAAATGCAGTACTAATTTCAATTTTAAGTTACAAAATCTTATTAAAATAATCTTATTTTGAAAAAAAATTCAATTAGATTAAATGCTAGGTTCACAAACAGAATACTCACAAACTTAATATTTATGGTTTAAATTTTAAGTTTTTTAAATTTATTTTATTTGAAGATTGGTATAGATATAAAAAGTTTACACATTTATAAAAACACGTCAAAAGTTTTACAAAATAAGAAGTTACAAGAATAATAGTTTATTTTATCAAATAATCAATGAAAACATACAAATAAATAAAATTTCCGTAATTTTTAAATAATGAAGTGTGATATTGTTTTTGGGATGGAAGAGTTATATGAAAAATTGGATGAAAAGGTAGATTTTATCCTAATTTCATCCAATTACAAAATAATTTATTGGTTTTGGAGTTAATTTGATTAGTTTCAAACCAATTCACTCAATATTACTCAATAACATTAGAGGTTATTGTTATCATTTTGCAAAGGCTCTTTAGCAACAACATTTAGTGTTATCATTTTTTTTAAAACTATATCTACACTATTAAATTTAGGTGTAAAATTAATTATATTTGACTCTATTGAATTTAATTTTATCTAATTTCAATCAAATACAATCAAATAGTTTATAAATTTTGCTCAATTGTATCTATCTCATTTAATTCTATCAATTTTTAGGAGTAATTGTAACGCCCCAAAATATACCCTAGAATTATAATTATTCAATTAATCAAATTTTTTTTTATTAAAATAAATTGTTGTTGGGCTTTGGGCCAAAATAAAACATATATTGATATCCAATATCACAATCTGAATAAATCTCATAGAGATAAATCCTATATGTTGACTTATTGTATGATCTTAATTTAGGAACCAGAGTATAGACCCAAATTAGGGATAAATGAAAGCTTTGTTTATGATGTGAACTTTGAAATGATTTATTGAAATAAATCATGAAAATGAGTTATATGAATTAAATGTTAGAACCTTTTTGAATAAAGGTCAACTAAATCAGTTTTGACTCTATCAAAGTCAACCAACCAAAAATATAATGTCAGAAAAAGTATTACAAATAAATATGAAAATTATATCGTTGAATAGAGTTTAATTGTACGATCACAACGGTGAAAACGGATTTCAATTCAGAGAAAGTTGGACCAAAAAATGTTCCCTCGACTAGGACCAATTTAGTCCCAATCAGGGACTTACGTTTAGAATCGGAGAAGAACAGCAGCCCGCTCCACTCAGCCACCGAAACAGGGAAATGTTCATCAGCAGCGTTGGTTTCTTCCTCTTCCTTCTCCTATAAAAGGCTACCACAACTCCCTCCATTCTTCACCATTTCTTACAAAATTTCATTCTATATATTTTGTTCCTTGTTGAGAGAGGAGTGCAGTGATGCTGTCATCTTAGTGAGAGGTCGCCGGAGTTGGGAGTAATCGTCACTGGAAGTTTCGCCGGAAAATCTTCAAAACCTTCATTTACCTTCGAGGTAAGCCCGTAGATATATCTAGTGACAAGAATGTTCGTATCGGTCGTTTCTACGTTCATAAACGGTCGTTTAGTTGAGTTGTGTTTGACACACTTGAAGAGACAAGAATCATAAACCATGATATTGATGTTAAAACTATGAATTAATGATGCCAAAATGATCTATGAACCTTGGAGAACATCTCTATGTAGTTTTGATGAATTTCGGTAACCAAAAATGGTATTTTCGAAATTGGACCCGAAGGTTGAAGAAGATGAACAGTGCTCAAAAATATGCAGAGAGGATCGATCATACCTCTTGGATCCATCCCCTGGGCATAATTGTTTTATATCAATGATTGATGAAATGCACTGGATCGATGCCCCGAAAATCTGATCCGAAAATTTGTCCGAAAATGCTATTTTTGAGCTCTAAAATCCTATTTTTTATACGAATTGATTATGATCATTATAAATGTGATGTTTTTAACAAATAAAAATGTTATGTGATGCATGACAGTAAGTTAGGGTGTTAACACCCAAAGCTAGGCCGCTAATTAATATTGAATATTATGTTGATTGATGATTATGGTAGTGATTATTGATTGATTATTATGATGATTAAATCTTGATGAATATTCTGATTAAAAATGATAATTGTTAATGATTAAATCATAATGAATATATTGATAATTGTGAAAATAATATGTATTGTTATGGGTATCTAGAAGACCTCTAAGATATACTCATATTAATGTTAATTTGAAAGGTATCTAGAAAACCTCTAAGATATACCCATTTAAGTTATGCCTTGCGGGTATGAACCCCGGTGGCTAGGGTTAAAACGTACGTACGGGATCCAAGAACCAAACTTGAGTACCTACTCGTTTGGGGGTACCACCCACCCAACAGTGAACACTACGCTGTCGGTTTCTGGTTGGCCTTAAGTGGAGGTAAATTTAAGATTTTCAAAACCCTTTCATCTTAAACTAGATCTAGATTAAGGATTATTTAGAAGTACTTTATACTGGAATATAGTTTAGTTACTTAAACTAAAATTCGTTTAAGGGTTGATAAACATTAAAGTGATTGGCCTTAGACTAAGAATAATTTAAGGATATTATCGAATGTTGAATGTTGATTGTGGAATATGAATGATTATTGAATAATGATTATTGAATTGGATATTGTGAATATTAGGAATGACTGATGAACGTTAAATGTGAATATAAATGTTGAATAATGAATGATGGATATTGATTAATGAATATTGAATATCTAAATTCAACATTATGTGCATGATATCAAATGATTTGATTATCGACGCATTATATATGCTTACTCAGCTTCAGCACTGAGCGTGTAGTATGTTTTATTTGCTACACGCAGGTTAATGAAGTGACGTGATCCTGGAGGCAGACAGAGGTGAGATGGTCGGAATGGATGTGATGGTTTTGAATTAAAGAACATAAATAAATTATGTTTGTATTATGATTTGTTAAGCTTCCGCAATATTGAAAACTCCGTACTGTTTCCATTGTGAAAAATATTATTGTGCTAAATAAAAGTGTTTGAAATGTTTTAAATTTTAACGATTATATTACCAAGTTAATACTTTAATCCGAAACAAGCTGCAGACCTGGACGGATTAGGATGTTACAGTAATATTAAATAGGATTCACTTAATTTCACCTAATTTCACTCAACTTTACCTAATTGTATTTAATTGGAGCGTAACACTATTTGAATTTATCTTTTATCGTCTTTGCATTTATAAACATAAAGATATTAGTAGATGTGGTAAAAAATTGATATATCAAAACTAAATTTTAAAATCAATTTAATTATATTAAACTTATATCATAATTAAATATATATTTTTTCATAATTTGTAGTCTAAATTTGTAAAATATGACTAAAAAGTCAAAAAAGAAAGATTGTTTAGGATGGATTTAGTATAATTAGAAAAAAATATAAAATAATATGAGGTGTTGAATTAATGATAGATTGATAAATGTGATAAAACAAAAAAGAAACATGAATAAATAAATTTGAATTAGAAAATAATATATATTCAAAATATATTCGATCAAAATATATCTAAACGGAAACATATCCGAAACTATAATATTTCATAAACCAAAATATGTCCGATATAAATTGTATCTGAACCAAAATCTATCCGAACCGATTTATATCTGAAGCGTATCTAAACTTGCTCGAAACCTAATCGAAACTGAAAAATGTACAAAATCAAATCAAATCCGAATTGAAATTAAATTGATCTGAACCGATTTGGAGTATCTCTGAAGGATATCCAAACCAAAAACGTGCAATCTGGAACCGATCCAGTTGAGCCGATTGCCACCTCTACGCGCAGTAGGCCAGTAGCTCTAAGACGAATTAGATTTACCCATGCAAAACGGTCTTGTTTAATTAAAGATTAAGCAAGACCATATTGTATATGCGCATGAACAACTAGATACTCCAAATCAATCCCAGTAGATATGCAAAAATCATAAAATGACTACTATTTTCAAGGCGATTTTTTATAAAGTGATCCTAAGATTGAATTCTCAAATACTTCATCCTTTCCTTAAAACAATTCCTTTTTTATTTTTTTCGTTTTCCCAAAAACACTTCCATTTTGTAAACAATGGTTAATATATCTAAATTAAGTTTTTACAATGTACTCCATTCAATTTGCATTGATATAATAAGTCATTTAAATAATTTGTCTCTTTTTTTTCTTCGATAATAAGAGTATAACTAGAAGGTCAAACTATGAAATTAAATCTCTCCCAAATCAAAACAGGAACTATTTTAGAGAACAGACAAATAATTTTACAAATTCAACCAACATGTGTATGTATCACATAAGTTGTATTGAAAAAAATAACATTAGTCAAATTTAATAAATTGAAACAAACAATTTAAATTTAAGGGAAGGAATATATGATTTGTTCAAATGGGATGTATCCACCTTTCACCAAACCCCAAGACCTAAATTCAAGGTACACAAATTATTAGCGTATTTTTTTTCCTTTTTAAGAAAACCTACACATTGTTTTTTTGGTTTTCTGATATCGGCACATGTTTCATATGCAGTTGCGTTCAATAATTAATTAATTTCTAAACATTATTTCCCAACTTGCATAGTATACAACGCCATCCTAATTGTTCAGCATTTAATTAGGTTTTTCTACCATCCTACGTACCTAAAACCAAAACCTACGTCTGTTTGGGCGATCATAATGCGAAACAATATGTTGCTTTCTTAACATTTTGACCATTTTGATCCAAATAAAACATTCTTTAAAATCAAAATATATGTTGATTGTCTTGTTTGGTGTGAAGCAATCAATCTTGTCCATGCTAACCAATGGTTTTTTAATATTCCACCACGTCCTTTATGTCCGCCAAGAAATTAATTCAACCAAAAGCGGCGTAATCTTTTTTTAGCGTTACACGTGAAATCTTAATTTTTTAAAACGCTGGATGACGCTAAATTTGAACACGTGACCTCTTAGTCCAGAAAGTTTTGATATATTATGTCAAGAAACTAATTTTTGTTACAACTTTGCATCTACTCGATCATAACATCTGGATACATCTGCGTAGCATACCCAAAGCCGCAAAAGAAATGAATGGTATCCTCATCGGCCATTTCACACAAACTGTAACTAGTTTTCGAATAAACCTAGTGTTACCACATGTGTACTATCATGATGAGTGCCTCCATGTTTTGCACAGACACACAAAGACGATATTCGTCTGCACGACACAGATGATTATCGTCTGCACGTCACAGACGATTATTGTTTGTCAGGTTTGTGTGTATATGTGCAAAGTATGGAGGCACCCATGGTAGAACTCATGTGGTGACACCCTAGCACGACCATTAGTGATAAACCATGTTTTCTTTAATTTATTCTTATTACATACTCCGTATTACTTTTTTATTGGAATTAGTTCACCTGATAGAAAAAAATCTTTGAATATAATTAAATCTAGATCGGATCAAAACTTATTTCAATCAAATCAGAACCAGTCCGATCAAGTAAAGAAAACATGATATCAATTCATCTCCCTCGTCTAACCTTGGTCATAAGCCTATCTAGCACATGAAAAAATATATATTGAACTTTAGGTGGGATAAACTTGTTCCACACCCACTTAATCCAATGAGGGTTTTGATTCACATTAGAATGCATATTTCTCAATCTATCTCTAATTTTGATCATTTGCTTTCAATAATAGCATGAATCCACCTTAGGTATTTTGTGAGCAACATCTCAATTTAATTTTATAATCACTACTTTATTTCAATAAATGATGTTTTTAGCCCTAGTCCCGCATATGTTTTAGGCAAACAAACAACGTCCCACTAGTATTCTTGTCAGCTTGTTATCGATAAAAGATAATAGTCAGTATAATTTTGAGGATTGTTTTTCAAAATTACTATCATTATTTAAATTTGAGTTGCGGAGTATTATAGAAAATAACAATTAAATCTGAAACAGATAGAGTGTATACTCTCTTCATTGATATTTAACTGATTATTATGATTTTAGAGTTGCGCAAAAAAATTGTATATATATATATATATTAAATAATAAACTAAAATTAAATCAATCCACTATTGTAATTCGTGATAAAATACTTAATTTAAGATAGAGGAAGATGTACGTAATACTTCCTTTGTTCTAAATTAATCTTCTCACTTTTTTTAGGATTTTTCTTAAATAACACCCTCATTTCTTTTAAAAAAATTAATGCTCCATATTAGTTTTCTCTTCTTTTCATAAATTTCAATCAAATAATGTTGTTTTTCTTAAATACAGTAATATGAAAAAAATAGAAAAATAAATTTGGGACTAACTCGCATTCCCTCCGCTCACCAAAACTATCTTTATTTTGACTTTTGAAGTCTATTTTTGTAATTGGACTTTTGAATTAATAATCATTAAGTCGAGAAGAAAAAATGAGAGGCGGGTCACTTAAATAACTTATTATATTAATGTAAATTAGATGACATATATGACAATGACTTTTTTTTTTGAATATATTAGTCATTTTAATTTGAAAAAAGAAAGTACTTCAATGAAAAAGAAAAAAATAACAGAGAACAATATTAGTGAATAGAGGGAGTATTTTTTTAGGTTTTTCGAAAATGAAAATGTGCGAAAAGCTTTAATTTTAGTTTACCGCGGTAGCTGCGTAGTCATAGGAAAAAGAAATAGTGAAATTTGCACTAAATAGGACTAAAACATAATGACTTTCCTAATGTAGGACTTAAACTTTTTTATTCTCTAAATAGGATTTAATAATGACCTAGTGGAGGAATAATGTCCAGTAATGATGGATATTTACTTGAATAATGACTACTTCATAATGACCAAAGGTCCTACATTGGTAAATAAAAACATATAGTCCTATATTGGGAAAGTCATTATGTTTTAGTCCTATTTAGGTAAATTTCTCAAAGAAATATAGAGAAAAGAAAAAGAAATCTAGAAATAAAAAAGAAAAATGAAATCTAGAAAACAGAGAAAAAAACCCCACATGCATCACGTTTTTTTAATTTTTAAAAAAAGTAGAGATTTTTGCGGGCGCCGGTCCATTTTAACCAACGTACGGAATACGTTCTTCACAAGTCCTTCCTCACCCGTTCCCCACTATATATAATGCTACACACACACACACACACACACTTTCACATCCAAACACACTCTTCCGATCCTCCCATTTTTAAAGAAAAGAAAAGAAAAAAAAAAAGAAATGGGGAGAAACTGCAATTTGGAACTCAGACTATTTCCCCCTTCCTCTGCAGAATCCCAGCAACGTCGTCACAACGTCCTCGGAACGCTCCCCGCGAGGAGCGGGGAAAAGGAAGGCAACGCAAACGAGCTCACCATCTTCTACGATGGCAAGATCGTAGCCTGCGATGCCACCGAGCTTCAGGTCTGATTACTTGACAATCACAAACCTGAACTTTTGATTCCTGTTCGTAACCCACTTTCTTATTTACAAAAAAAAAAAAGACGAGCCCCGTTCCGGGGGTACGGTCCATTTAGACCCGACCAGACGATCAGTCATTTTTTTTACAGTATTATAAATGAATGATGAGAATGGTGTGGGAAAATGCAGGCAAGGGCCATAATACTCCTAGCCAGTCAAGAGAGATGGAGAGGGTCGCCTTCGGGGCCACCGGTGACGCAGCCACCGCCGGAAGAGTACGGGAGACCGACGGCGAGTTACGGGCTCTCGATGAAGAGGTCCCTGCAGAGGTTTTTGCAGAAGAGGAAGAAGAGGGCGGAATCAGCGGGACCATATCTTAATTCGATCAATTGATTCGTGGATCGGAGTTCCGATCCGACCCGAGTGTTTAATTATATTACATCATAGTATTACATTATTGATCAGATCAGAGTTCATGTGTAAATATTATATTTATTCATTTCATACCGGTAGTATTTTTCTTGATCACCTTAATATAACTCTTAACCACAATCAAAGAATTAAATTCTTACCACCACTATAGAATACAGATAACACCTTAATGATTAATTCATGATCACACCCTGCCTCATTTAATTTATTTGTTTGCTTTTTTATTTTTATTTGTTTGAAACTTTTTGTTAAAGTCTTTTTTTTTAAATTGGGATTTTTTTTAAAAAAATAAACAAATAAAATTCAAGACAAAAGAAGTGCTCTATCTCACTATTTGTAAATAATTGTACATTAGATTTTGGATGAATGCAGACAAATATTATGTCTACATTCATTTAATTCTTAATGTATCTAATTTAAAAAATTAGAATAGACCAATGTTTAATTATAAATGAACCGGGTATATATATTTCAACCGCATAGTACACCTAACACAAAAAAATTATATTTCCTCCACCCTAAAGCATTGTTGTTCCTACTTTTTTATTGTCCTATGCTCCATATTTTTCTTGTCACTAAAAATAAGGGTTAAAATATGTGTTTAGTTCATGTAAAATAGGAGAGTTTTGTTTTTGATCCTCGTACTATATAATGAATGGAGAATGGAGAACCTCACGACCTAAGATTGATCCTCAAAAGGGGCAACTTTGGGCGTATTTGCAGGGAGTTAAGCGAGCTACCTTGGGAGTAGCAAAAATGATGGGTGACCCATTGGGCGTATATACATAATTTAAAATAATTAAATTATTATAAAAATTTAATATTTCAAAATTATATTTTAAAATAAATCTAATTGTATTAAGTTCACATTATAACTAAACATGTTTTTTTCCCATTATTCGCGTTCAAAAGATGCCACAGTTTGACTAAAAAAGTTAAACTATGGCAATTTTTTAAAGACGGAGAGAGTATGATTTGATTATGGCCAAGACTAAGTACATTTACATAAAATAGCTGCTAACAGATTTCAACGATAAGTTGTGTCATTGCTCTGATTTCAATGCTGTGACAAAACAAAAATCTGAGTACTTTTTGTGATGTCTTGATGAGATTTCAATGATGAGTTTATGTCATATAACTCTGAGCAATTACAATGAAGTTTGATTGCATATTACTATATATGATGAATCATGTGCAATCCATCTACAATAATGAATTAATGTATATTCACTTCAGTTATTCTGAGTAATTATAATGTTGTTAATCTCACTCTCAATTGATGGAACAAAGTAACCATCTTTATGGAAGAAGAACCCCTCTCTTCTGGGTAAGTGCGAAATGCAAACACCGATTATTACCCGATAAGAAAGTAACATAAAGTTCACTATATAATGAATGAACTCACCGGCTTCTATATTTAGTTCCACGGCCACTTGGCATCCCTCCAAGTGAAGCAATGACTTGTCGCGTTCAAGTCTCCTTGAGATTTTGACCACTTCTCTCCAGTTTCTTGCTGGCTTTCTGAGTTAGACGCGAACGCTTGGCAGCAGCGAAGTTCTTCATCGCGGACTACAGCTTCTTTTCTGTACCGGGGATTGCAATACCTTGGATGTTGTACAAATCCTACACCTTTCCACCAAAGTTTAAGAGCCTGGGATTCCACAACCAAAAAAGGAACCTTAGAGCCTATACACTATATTTAGTAAGGGTAACATTGGTCACTTAAATGGCTAAGATCTCGAATTTGTTGCAGTAGTAAAACTCAAGTTCCAAAATTATCGAGCAAAAAAGTATATTAAAACGATGGTTGAAATGTGTTTTTCAGCCATCTCAACAAAAAAACCTTCTGCATTACATTCCTTTTTCAGGGAACCCAGCAATGTTTGGTTAAAAAAAAATCTATGGGATAAGCAGAAAGAAGCTGTAAATGACATTTCTATCATACCATATATGCTTATTCTTTTAATTAATTGAAAATTGCATTTTGAATATATTTCAAGATAATTCGGCTCAATCCATTGAGTCATTTGAGCCACAATAAGAGCAAACTTTACACATTTAACAATTTGAGCTAAATTTACCTTTACCAGACAGTTCTACTTTTGCCATGCAAGCTTCAAAAATTCCAAGTTCACATAATATAGTATATACATACTATCCAATTATGTATGGTAAGATGGTGAATATTTCAATGCTGAGAAGATCTAGGAAACTCTACCTGCCAATATATCCAAAAAGCAACCTTATGAGGCATCAGCCAGAAGAATAGTGTGTGATCCACCGGCACAGAAGACTCTACTCTTCTGGCAACCAATGAAGCTGAAAAATAGTCACCAAGTGTGGGATGACTTACTGAAATTGTTACCAAAATACTCTCTCCCGGTGTATTTGTTTTTATCTTCCAACTACCAAGCATATCCTGAGATCCCAGAAAGATAAAGTAATAATATGAAAATATTATTTTCAAATATCATTGTCTCCGGCATTTGTTTTCATAGTTTAAATGGGCCAGTTCTAGTATTGAGGGAATGAATGAAGAGTGTGCTCTATAAAAGTGACGCCTCATAAAAGACTTTAAAATAATCATTTACTTTTATTACTAATCCTGGTTAAGATGTTCAAGTTTGTTATAACATTTTGCAGCAAATCCTAATTACCAAACAATCCCAGTAAATTCCACTCAAGAGTAAGGTCTGGGGGTCATGACAAAGTAAATAGACCTTAACGAATAGGGATGTGTTTTGCCGTATCTTCATTGCAGATATAACAACTGGTGGAGACCAGGTTAAACATGGAAAGAAAAATGGAAGGACATGGAGGTTACCCAGACATACATTAAAAGGACTAACGTGTAGAGCTTTCGCAACCATATCGGATTCTGGGTTAAACAAAAACATTACTCTTTCACCCCATGGCGTATTTGTCACCTGAAAAATGAACCGTCAAGAACAGCACATGAGTGTTCGCAATTAAAAAAAGCTTCACATTAACAAAGTTAAAAAGAGATATGCAATCACCAATTCCCGCAATAGACACTTTTCAAGAATGATTGATGACATTTAGATGATTAATATTAATGTAAGGGTAATCAAAACCACTCACTTCAGCAATGCATTTCTTCAAATGTTGAGAGGAGGAAGCCTCAACATCATAGCAATAGTACACACTCAATGGATTTTGCTCATACCCCACACTTGGGGGCATTGTCAACAACAAACTGCAAAGACAACATAAAACATAAATTCGAAATGTTTGTATAGTTTCTATAAACAGTGGACAAGAATTTTTCAATGCTGTATCCATGGCAAATTACTGAATGAACTGAAATTGGCCATTGTAAATTTGGGATCTTTCTGTTTTTCCTTTTTTGGGTTTCATTTTTTAAAGTGATTGCATCTAGAAGTTCATGTAATGTCAGGTTGATACATGAAAAAAGAAGAAGCTAAAATCACAGAAAATTAAGGGCAAAATTTGTGGAGCACAAAATTGAGCAGAAAATTCAGTGCATAAACAAAATGAACTGTACACGGGGCCATTGGTTCCGGAAAAGGAGCGAGCTTGGGAAGCGGAGAGGTGGTCGGGCGGCGCGTGAGGAGCGTGGTCAAGGTCAACGAGCGCGTACCGAACATCGTACCGGAAAGAGTGGTGGATGGGTCGGCGGCGCTCATGCCATACGGTGCCTTGGTAGATCGAAACAGAGTCTGTGGCGGCGCGTGTGGCGCAGAATCGGCGGAAGACGTAGGTAAAGGGGAGGAGAAGAGACAGAGCCAGAGAAGTGAGGGAGGTGGAAAGTAAGGATCCCAGAAGATAGAGTATCTCCATATCTCCTCTCGTGACGCTTGCGAACTTGCGCCCTCTTCTATTTTTAACTTCCACTTCTATTTCTTAACTTGTGTAAGAGTAGAGGAAATGGGTCTGGGTGTCAACCGTGATTTTAACGCTCGGAAGCATTAAACACAGCTCCTAGGACTTCAAAGGGGCGTCACTCCTCGGCGTTTTGACGCAACCCTCCTCTCCCCTCCCCTAACTGCTAAATTAGCCGTTGCAAGCCTAAAAACATTTTTCTAGGCTTCTTTTTATAAATTTTATCTTCTCCCATTCTCACACCTTTCAATCTTTGATTCTCATCAATCTTCTTCACATCTTCAATTCTCAATTCTCCAATTCTCTTTTCAACATGAATCCCTCTGACTCCGGCTTTTTCTCCGACGATCTCGAGTCTAACGAGCACGCCATGTGGATCATCCAATAATACGGGAGTAATCCAACGTTGTTCGAGACGGTCGGTTCCAGAGACTCAACCGGAACCATCTGACACCAAAAAATGCACGCCCGAAAAGCCACAAAGCAAAAGGCACTCAAGCGATGACCCAGACGGCACTGTCAGTCCAAAAGTGGACGCCGGAGGCAGAATGCTTGTTGGCGTCGGCTTGGGTTGATGTCAGCATCCTATCGTTGGTAAAAATTATATATTTTCTAACATATTTGTGTTTTTATTTATATAATCATGTTAAAAAATTCGTGTTATACTTTTTAAAGGTTTGGAGCAAACGAAGGATGCGATGTGAAATCGTATCGAGGAGGAGTTCTTTACAACGATGAACAAAGACGGCTCGTACCGTGGCGGAACCAACTTACTTCCAAATAGAGCCACATCAACCGTAAAGTCCGAAAGTTTATCGGAGTTTATGAGGAATGCACCCGGTCGCAGAGGAGCGGGACGAACGACGCCGATGTTCTTCGACTTGCCACGGCCCGGTATCAAGACGACGGGCACCAAGGCAAGGTGTCCATCGATCTTTGGAGGATTTTGAGCCATTCACCGAAATAGAAACAACTCAACAATTCCGACCTGGGTCCTCCAAGAAAAAATCCTTCGTCGACACCGAGATTGAGGTTGATGACACTATTGGTTTGTCCGGACAAAGGCCTCCCTTTAACGTTGCAGATTCCGATGACGAAGACCCCATTCCACGTCCGATCAAAATAAAGAAGACAAAGTCTATTACCTCGAGTTCTGGAGGGTCCGACTCTATTTCTGCTTCTTCTCACGACAATATCAGTTGGGCAATGGTTGAACAACTTCGGGTGTTCAATATTTGAGAAGAAGAGAGGGCAAGAAGAAAGGAAGAGAAGGACGAGATCGAAATAATGGAAACCGACCTTGATACGTTATCGGCCTTCAAACGTATGATCTTCGAAAGAAGGCAAAAAGAGATCAAGGCTAAATATAATTTACCTTAGTTTTTTTATTAATGTGTTTTTTTAAATTATTGTCGCTTCGATTTCTTTTAAAAACAATGAAGGTTTGAAGCCCTTGTTTAAAGCTCCATGGCTTCAAACCCATTTCCACTAAATCTCTGAGGTAAGTTAAGACTGACGTGGCAGAGAGAGAAATTTTGAAGCCTCGGTTTGAAGCCCCGAGGCTTCCTGGGTATTTCCAGTGCCCTTATTTATGACGTTTAACCTTTTATTAAGACAAACGTGCACAGATGAATTATTGTGAGTAAATTCTATAATTGGTCCTTTATAACAGGTGAGTTTCCCTATTTAGTCCTTTATTATCAAATATTATCCCAGTGGTTCTTCTTATATGGGATCTTTCCACAAATAATCTTTTTTTGATCTCCCATCATGTTTGAGTTAATTTGAGGGCTAAAAGTGTAATTTCACAATGATAATATATCTTTTTTGTCATACACAAATCCAAAGGTTGTTCTGTTTACGTTGTTTGTGAATTATATTCGCTTTCTACCACAACCATAGTCTACAAATGTGGTCTTCCGTCGGAATCCTAGCCCACAATCATAGTCATTATTTTTGTGTTATTCGCTAAACCAATATCAGAACACGTCACTAGACATAATGTTGATGTCAAATTAAACTTTTAGCCTTTAAATTAACACCCAAATGACGGAAGATCAAAAAAGGACCATTTATGGAAAAACATCCTTAAAAAAGGACTCCGAGGGTAACATTTGATAATAGAGGACTAAATATGAAAACTCCTTGTTATAAAGGACCAATTATGGAATTTACTGTAATTTTTTTTTTAAATTTTTGAAATTTATTACTATTCAATTGAGGTTTCAAAAAAATCATTTAAAAGCTTTAGGTATTCACTTTGATTTTTAAAAAAACATTTAAAATTTGAGTGTTTCAATTTGGACTTTAAAAAATATATCAAAATTTAATGGTAATAAACAATTCATAGTTTGGATGATTTTTATTATAATTAGATTTTTTTTTTGAAGTCAAAATTCATTCCATTAATTTAAAGAGTTTGGGATACAATCAAATGGAGCAAAGTCCCAAGACGAACAGGATTGTTGACCAAAAGCCTCAGAGGCTAAAATATGAGAGAAATTAAAATGACGAGAAATAAAATCACAAGAAAAAAAACTGAAGGATTGCATAAGCGATTTGCACTGAAGAATAGTCACCGCTTCAAAAGATGAACCCACGAACCGATGATCACTGATGGAGCGTATTAAAGTCATGCAATCTGAAAAAACCTGGACTCTTGGAACGGATTTGTCTTTGATCCAAGTTAAAGCTTCCTTGAGAGCCAAAGCCTCGGCCATAAGCGGGTTCAAACAGAAATTGAGTTTACCATTGATAGCCTTCACAAAATTACCGCCCGGTTCATACAAAACGAATCCAAAAGTCGCTTCTTTTGTGTCCGACTTAAAACCACCATCGATGTAACACGTAAATGCATCATGTCGTCTTTGCGGAGGCTGTCTACGTCTTCTTTGCTGCATAGGATTGTTCCATGTCTGGCACCAAGCTTCCACCATGCATTTTGCTGTCTTCCAACACCCTGCAACAGACGGAACCCAACCCTCCCACACTGCTTTATTCCTCGCTGTCCAGATAGAGTAAATGATCGTCGCTGCAACCTGCCGACCCCTTTGATCTAGCCTCTGCAGCCACTGTTCACCCCACTCTGCCGTCGAGCTCGAGGAATTGGAGACAACTGTAAGACCGCCCCACTGCCACAGTTATTGCGCGAAGGCACAGTCTCGAAACAGATGCAGCGTCGTCTCTTCTACAACTCCACAGACTGGGCACATGGGGTCCACTGCCACCCTCCTAACCAACAGGTTAGACTTCGTAGGGAGAATCTCCGAGAACAGCCGCCACAAGAGGTTCTTCCACCGTGGTGGAATATTCAAATTCCAGAGTAAATTCCAATGGGAGAACTGATAATTGAGGGTAGAAACCTCTCCACGCAACTGTCTGTATCCACTTTTCACAGTATAATCACCATAAACTCGCACTCCTCCTGCGAAAAAAACTCATGCAGACAGTCAATATCCCAACTACCCGAGTTAGGATCTCTCAATTGGTCCACCCTAACATCTGGTAGATAAGTAGGTTTGGGGGTTTGAATCCACGGATTTTCCGCACCACAAAGCCAAGGATGTCCCCAAACCAAAGTATCCTTACCATTACCAATGCGCCTGAGAGCCTTAGACCGGATAAAGCCATGGGTCGCCATAATACTCCTCCAGATGAAACTTGGGTTCGGACCCATTTTCGCTGCCAAAAAATCAGATTGAGGGAAATATCTTGCTTTAAAAATTCGAGCCGCAAGAGAAGCAGGGTGTTTTAAAAACCTCCAACCTTGTTTAGCTAAAAGAGCTAAGTTAAAGGTATGAAGGTCCTTAAAACCCAATCCTCCACATTTCTTTGGCACACACATCTTGTCCCATGCTAACCAATGGATTCCGCCGTCATTAGAACTACCATTATTCCACCAGAACTTGTTCATACACCTTTGAATAGAGGAGCACAGAGAATCCGACAATAAGAAGACACTCATCGCATAAATGGGAAGAGCTTGGGCCACTGTCTTCAAAAGAATCTCTTTCCCTGCTTTGGAGAGAAACTTCTTATGCCACCCAGTGATACGCTGTGACACTTTCTCCTCGATGTATGAAAAAACCAACCTCTTGTTCCTTCCAATGAAGGAGGGCAAACCAAGGTACTTGCCAAAGTCACTCGCTTCATTAACCTGCAAAAACTGTGCAACCTCATGACGTACCTCGGGACGAGTGTTCTTGCTAAAACATATGTTTGACTTTTGAAAATTGACCGCCTGCCCCGATAAACGTTCATAGATAGCCAGGCAATTCTTAATCACTTCTGCTTCCTGCAAGTTAGCTTTAAAGAAAAGGAGACTATCATCGAAAAATAAGTGAGATATTGGAGGTGCCCCCCTCGCCACAATGCACCCGTGAATAGTTTTAAGAGCTTGTTCTCTTTGGAAAAGCAAGGAAAGTCCTTCCGCACAAATGATGAAGAGGTAAGGGGACAGAGGATCCCCTTGTCTGAGGCCACGAGAAGGATAGACCAGACTTTCTTCTCTTCCATTAATCAGAAAAGAGTAAACTGCAGAAGTAACACAGTTCATCAGAAGCGAGACCCACTTAATTATTACTGAAACCCAAAGCAGAAAGCATACCCTTTAGAAAATTCCATTCAACTCTATCATAAGCCTTGGCCATATCCAATTTGAGGGCTTCCCAACCAGTCTGCCCAAGTTGTTTTCGCTTGAGATAATGGCCAATTTCGCCTGCAACCAAAATATTATCTGAAATTAAGCGTCCAGGCAAAAAAGCACTCTGAGTGTCTGAAATGATATCTCCCAATAGTGGCTTCATCCTGTTTGCCAACATCTTAGACATGATTTTATAGATAACATTATAGAGAGCTATAGGCCGTAGGTCAGAGACAAATTCTGGGCACTTTTTCTTTAGAATAAGCACAACATGGGCTATATTAATAATCGATGGCCAAGAACCCTTGTCCATACATTTAATGACAAAATTAGAAACATCATTTCCAACAATATCCCAATATTTTTGATAAAAGCCGGGATTCATACCATCTGGACCTGGCGATTTATCGGGCTTCATAGAAAACAGAGCCTCCTTGACTTCATCTGGAGTAAAAACACGGTCTAAATAACCTCTTTTTTCTTCGTTAATCCAGTTTGGCACCATATTAAAAAAATTGTCATCAACTGCACAAATGGAATTAGAAGTAAAAAGACTGTTAAAGTACTCAATCACCAGGTTTGAGAGTGCCTTACCCGATTCATCTTTTAGACGAGTAAGCATATTTTTCCTCCTTCTAGATGAAGCATAATTATGAAAAAATCGGGTGTTGAGATCAGAGTTCCTGAGCCAGTGTTGTTTAGATCTTTGCCTCCAATAAATATTCTCTTGAGATTCAAGTTTAGAAATTTCAAACTCAAGGGTGCGGAATTGCTCAAGGGAGGAGGGATCTCTGTAATCCCTGATGGTGTTTTGCTGAGCACGGAGAGATTCAAGTCGTTTTTTAAAGTTTGCAACCTGGGGGCCACCCCATGCCTGAAGACGAGCTCCACAAGTATACAGTAGACGTAGAAGACCACACTGACCGTGAGAATACCAGCAATCCTCAATGATTCTGCGACACTCAACATCCTGCGTCCATGCATTCTCAAATCGGAAGCGTCTACCTCGAGGCATGTAGGAGCAACGTGATCGGTGAGCTTTGACATCCAAAAAGAGGGCTGAATGATCAGAATGCCCAGTCAAGGAGTTAATCACCTTAGCATTCGGAAAAAGGACCAACCAAGATTCCAAGGCCAAGGCTCTATCAAGCTTTTCTTCGACCCACTCCGGTTTGCCTTTCCATTTCTCCCAAGTGTAAGGATAACCCACAAATGGAACTTGTAGTAGATTGCAATCTTCGACACATTTGCTGAAACCAGAAATCAAAGAATTTGGGTGAGACGTTCTACCTCTTTTTTCATATTGGAACAACAAATCATTGAAATCACCGATGACCACCCAAGGAGCAGTTGACGATGCTTTGAGATGCCGAAGAAGTCTCCAGGAATCCTCCCTTTTGTGTCTTTCTGGGTAGCCGTAAAAGCCTGTGATCCGCCACTTGATCCCGTTGGGGTCACAAACCATGACATCGATGTGGTTTTTAGAGAAGCTAAGCAAATTGACTGAAAAATTAGCCTTCCAAGGTCCACAAGTTCCTGAACTGTCTGTGGTTTGCCCAACCCACAGCAGTTCCAGCTTAGAAGACTCATGGCTTCGGCGGGCCTGGGAGCCAGGCCCTGCCGTTAAAAAAGGGTTAGCATTTGGTGAGAGAACGGAATCCATCAACTCGGGTCCTTCCCTTCGCCTTTTAGGCGCTGCCAGAACACCCCTAGCGTCATTGACTTCTTCTTGAGCTTGTGATTGAGTCGTCTCCATCCTTGACTTAACCAAGTCGCTTGTAAACTGTCCTAGAGGGATAAGCCATGGGCTAGAAAGATTTTTTTGTCCTTTGTTAGACGAAGCCCGAAGCCAACTTCCAAAAGGATATTCTTCAATTGGTATTTTAGCATTACGTGCTCCCAGGCAGAATTTTTCTGAGTGCCCTAACAAACCACAGAAGAAACAGAACAAATGCAACCGTTCATACTTGAAGTTGACCCAGACCCACGAGCCATCTCTTTTAAGCAATTTCATCCTTCTTTTAATAGGTTTAATCACATTGATGGACACTCGAACTCTATAGAATTGTTTCCATGGACCGTCAGAGTTCCTCTTGTCATTCTGAACAAACTTACCAACATAATTTGCAATTTGTATCAAAACAGCCTCAGAGGTATAGCCCATGGGCAAGTCATGGATCTGCACCCATATGTCCAACCAATCAAGAGAAATGTGCGTAGGAATATCACCTTGGAGAACTTCTCTGCACACCAACGAAGAGTTTTCGAACGCCCATGGCCCTTCGTTCAAGACCCTCTCCATATCGGATTGATGAAAAAAATGGAAAAGAAAGCGATTCTGCCCAAATTCTCGGATTTGAACTCCACAGACCGGACGCCACACCATAGCGAGTACTTGTTTCATATATTCGACCTTGATTGGGCGGTCAGTCAGAAACCTTCCGACAAGCGTCCACACTTCAGGCATCGCAGGGATTTGCTGGACCTGGTCTTGTTCTGGTAGAAACACCGGCACCGGTTCTTCCTCTTCTTCCAATGAAATTCCAGCCAATCGGACATTTATATCTGTTTGGCCCGTCGGATCAGACGACATCCTTTTAGAGAACAAACCCTCGAATCCCAGGAAAAAACTTCCAACAAAAAAGAGGACCACGAGATAAGGTGATCAAATCAGACTGGAGAAGCAAACAGCAGAACCCTAGGAAAAAACCAGGGGGGAAATCGGCGGCAGAACCCTAGGAAAAAACCAGGGGGGAAATTGGCGGCTATTATAATTAGATTTGAATAGATTTCAGTGATATTTTTCTCTCAAAAAAAAGAGTGCTTCTATGGTGTACCTTAGGTTCATATTATTTTTGTAGACCTTATTATTACATAAAAAATCAATTTTTTTATAAAAAATTGCTTATTTAAACAATAAGAAAATATTTATTTTACTCATTGTAGGTCTATGGTGGACTTTAGATCCATCATAAATTTGCCTATAAAAAATACATAGGGACATCCAAAGATTTTCACATAAACTTTTTAGTTGTTACGAGATAAAGTTTTTTTCTTGAGACTTGAAACATAGTCCCCAGTACTATGTTCGGTTCGGAAAGGGAAAACAAAAGAAAATTATAAGAAAAACAATTTTTAATATTTGGTAGAGAGGAAAAGAGAAAATTTGAAAAAAAGAAAATAGAATTAGTAACAGAAGCAAAAAGAAAATGCTTTATATTTTGACAAGTAAAATGAGAGAATTTTTCTTCCTTTATGTTGCAAATTTCTTAAACCAAGTATAGTGTAAATATGTTGCACTTTATGCCAAAGCAAACGAAATATCAAGTTTTTCATTTTGTTTTATTTAAATATTGGTATTAAATTAAAAATTAAAACGTATATATTTAAAATAATGTCAAAATTTTATAAAACAAGAAATGAGAAAAATATTTTTATGAAATAGTCAATGAAAATATATATATAAACAAAAGATAAGTAATTTTTGAAAAGTGGAGTTTGAAGATCTTTTTGAGAGGCCGGGCGTTTTTCAAATTTATTTTATTGGTTTTCCTAACTACTAAACCAAAATGAATGTTTTTTCTATAAAAAAACAAAATGAATGGTTGGTTTACCAAAAAACAGAAAACAAAATGAAGGGTTTATCCATTTGAAATTCCATCCGACGACCCAACTCTTTCTTGACTTGAAGTTGACCCGAAGCCTAATCCAATCCCACCCAAACTAACATCTTAACATTGACCTTGTACTCAGACCTACCCAACTAAGCTTCACCAAAACTTGACCCAACGCAAACTTCACCCAAACAAAAATACATTGATCCGAAGTTGACCCAAATGAAACATAACCCGATCCGAACTCAAACCGAACCGTTCTCCCGGTGTACTCCCGGTAACCAAATACAAACAGAATTGTATATTCTCTAGCATAAATTCCTTTTTCTTTATGACACTAAGATCAAATTTGGGCAATTAGATTGGAGTAAAAGCATCAAAGAAAGAAGCTAAAGGCAAACATCTAAAACAGTATACCAACCATTATAACCAGTATAATCCAATGAGTTGCTATGAACACAGCATTGAATATTTGTACACACAACCCATTGAATCACTCCATTGCAATGATGCAGAGAAACACTCCTAAATCTTTTGCCTCAGCGAATTGTAGTAAGGCCTCGTTGATCTCTGCAAATCGGCACCGGTAAGTGACAAACTTGGCCGTGTCAAGTTCCTGAAAACAACATGACAACAACAAACAAAAAATCTCAAGACACATCTCCAAGACTCCCAACATTTTATGGTCAAAACTGCAGAGGAGATAATGAAACAAACACGAACCCCGTTCACAATCATGTCCACAAGAGAGGGAAGATGAGATCGCGGTTTGTAGTTCCCAAAGTAACAGCCCTTCAGAGTCCTCTCTGCTATGAAGTTCAATGGGTCAGTGCTAAACTTTTCAGGCATTACAGTGTTGAGAACAGCAACGCCCCATCCCTGCAATGAGATAGTTAGCCCATAATCCTTTTAGAAAACTAACAAAAAAAAGTGTTTGTGGCATTGGCATACAGTGTGAAGACATTCAAATGCAGAGGTCATGTATTTGGGGTCTGCAATGCACACCACGCTTCGGTCTGCTCCTTCTTTGGTTATATCAACAATGAGCTATATATAAATATATACCACAAAACTCTCAACATACTCTAAAGCACGTATGATCTAATAACAAATCAAGTTTTCAGGGTGGACAAGATAAACAAACATCATGGATTGGCGTAGTGTGGTACGATGAGTTCAGAGCGTAGGTGACGCTAAATCCAAGCGCTGCACACAAGAAAAAGTACATCCAATAATGATGGGTTGATGAGAAGGAAAATGAGGGGATGATAACTAAGAAATAATCTTAATTACCCTTGCATAGCCTGTCTGAATCAGAATCTACACCAATTATCTGCGAAGCACCAGCTATTCTTGCTGCTTCTGAAGCCTGAACATTTCGAAGACAAAAGGAGGCATTACATATATCAGGCAAAATACCAAACACATTTGTCATGGAAACTTAGAAAAGACATTTTACATACAGCAAGTCCTGGTAGTCCGAGTCCGAAAATAGCCACAGAGGAATCTTCTGGTGGTTTGGCAACATTGAACACAGCACCCAAACCTACACACACACACACACACACACAAAATTCAATGATGCGCCAAGAATGTTCGATGAGCATTTTTTGCCCAAAATATTGATCTATATTGGCACCTGAAATAACCCCACAGTTCAATGCACAAACTTTGTCCAAAGGAGCTTCGGGGTTGATTTTGACAACACCTCCGGCATGGGCATTGGTGTACTCGGTAAAAGTGGAAGTGGTGGCATAATGATATACGGGTGCTCCTTCGACTGAAAACCTTGAGGTTTCTTCGCTGACCTTCAGTCCCCCAAGAGACTTCAAACAAGGAAGAGTACACAGATTACTCTCTTCAGATTTGCAGTAAGCACATTCGCCACATTCCCCAGCGCATACAATCATAACGGTGTCCCCTGCAACGACTCCCGTCACACCCTCTCCCACGCTTTCCACAACCCTGTGCACTCACAAAATACACAGTCAAGTTTCTCTTTTTCTTGCTACATGATGGTAATTGAAATTAGGGTTTGAATAAATTTCACAAAATTCACATACCCAGTTCCTTCATGTCCCATAATCCTAGGGAACCAGGGACCCTGACAGAAATCAAGAAACGGAATTTGGGAGCCATGATGAGTACTGAACCGGAAAAAAATCTATTCTTTCTCGAAGCTTCTAGGAGAAATAACTCCATTTTCACCCAAAAGAAACGAAAGAAAGAAATTACCTCGACAGACCAGGCCAAAGCATCTCCGAGACAGAAGCAAGTGAAAAGAACCTTGACCCGAACCTCCATTTTCTGCGGCGGCGCCACCTCCACCTCTTGTATCCTCAGGGGCTGGCGGGGACCCCATGACACCGCAGCTGCACGCCATTTTCTTGAATCGTCGGAATTTATCGACCTCAGAAAGAAAAACTATGGCCTTTGAGCGTGGAAAAGTAAATACCTTTGCATTTAATGACTTTCCCGGCGGTGCTCGCCGGAGTAATTCTTGGATCGGCCATTGTTGCGTCTGATTTCTTGGTACTGTGAAAGTTGAAGAGGGGAACGAGTGGGTTATTTGGAGGGAGGGTTTAATACTTCACTAATAACGACTTAACCCGTTGGGAAAGATTTAGAAATAATCACGTGTCCGGATCACGTATACGGATACGTATACTCACGTCTCTCTATCAATTTTAAAAATATTTTAGAGAGTAAATATCATAAAAGGTTCTCAGAGGTCATTTTACATATTTAGTCTCTACATATCAAATATTACTAATTTAGTTCCCATTTATTATCATTTTTCACGAATGGTCATTTGTTAACGTTTTTGTTAAGAACATGGATAAAATTGTATATTTATATTTTCTCCTCAATTAAACTTTATCCTTCCTCTCGTACTCTTTTTCAAACCCGTCGTTGAGTTTGAAGCTCTAAACTCAAAACTGAAATAATCATTCCTTTCTCAATTATTAGTCTTCCTAGTAGAACCTAAAACCAAAACCAACAAGTTTTATGAATGAATTTTATCGGTTAGTCTCAAAAAATTTGCAAAGAAAATAAACATTAAAACTCATTCATTAAGGTTACTGGTTTTGAATTTCGGTTCCACCAGTTAGACAAACAATTGAGAGCAGAGTGATGATTTCGGTTTTGGGTTCAAAGCTTCAAACTCAGCGACGGGTTTGGAAAAGAAGTGCGAGGGATGAACAAAGGATCATTCGTAGAAATGAATATAATAATTGTAGATTAAATTAGTAATATTTGATATATAGAGACTAAATATGTAAAACGACATATAACAGAGGAGCTTTTATGAAATTTACTCTATTTTAAAATAGGCATATACTTGAAGAGTTGAGGTTATGTACAATACTTAAAGGGTGTATTATTCAAAAAATAGAAGTTTTATGTGCAAATAAAAAATAGATATGTTTAACTTTGCTTTAAAGCACTTTGGGAGCCTATTTTAGACTGCAGAAGTCATAATACTATTGAGTGAATATTTTATTATTACTTTTTTCCGTTCTAAAATGTTCTTTTCCTTTCGGTTTTCAAGATTTGATTGAAATTATTTTTAAATTAATTTAGTTAATTATACAAGTAAAATTTGAAAAATAAAAATTATATATTTAAAAACTACATAAAAAATTATATAAAATAAAAAATGACATTATTATACTACTTTATCAAATGACTAATAAAAATAGGCAAAGAAAGTCATTAATGTCTGACCATGTGATAGTAACTAGGAAAAAAGTTTTAAAATGAGCAAGTATTATTTTTGTACGGCGACACACATTAATTTGTTTTAACAAATATTTAAACCAAATTAAATAGGAAAAATTATCTCAAATAATCCCACCTTTTCGCGCTTTTTAAAAAATAATCCCACTTTTCACTGTCACCGGAAATAATCCCACCTTTTCGCATGTGTGCGAATTTTGGGTCACCGTTAAAAAACTAACGGCCACTTAACGGAAGTTTTTGAAAATGCCTGTTTTTTGCAAATAAATGAAAGGTGGGATTATTTTAGAAAAATTTACTTTTTACTTTTTTAGTTTTGAATTTAAAATTAATATTTTTAAAAATATAACAATACACTCTTGTTGGAGATTTGTCTAACGATTAACAAATTTTGTAGTGATTTATAAAATTTATGGGTTCCGTTCCAGAGAAAAAAATATTGTGTCATTTTCACAACTTTTGAATTACTATTTTGGGGAAAAATTTGTATTGAATTATTAAAAAAATCACAAATTGGGTAGTTCCATTTTAGAAAAAGAAATCATCCATTATAGCACCTTTAAGTATTACAAAATACATATATAGCAATCCCATTCCATTTTCAACATTTATAGCACCTCCAACGTTTTTCATCTCTCCAATATTCCCAATTTAACCCTGCATTCTTTATCCTCAACCTGCAGTTACCACTTTCCGGCATTTCCCCTTCACCTGCGCAATTTGAGGAGGGTGTTAATCACCAGCCGTTACAACCCCATCGCCTATTACAACGCTCTCCAACGATCCAACGATGGTCCTCACTATTCCTCCCCCAAAACCAGAGAATCGCCGGTTGTACCACATCATACACGGTAGGCTTCACCTTCCCCAATCCAATTCCCAATAGTATCGCACCATTGCAATTGAGTTCCGCGGAGACTCGGCTGAAGCTTTCACAACTCCCAGCCAACCCCGGTCAGTCAAGTTCCTTCTGAATTTGCTTATATCTATCATATCCGTGAGTAGGGTTTGTGTTCTTATTATTCTCCATTGTTAAGCTATTGTTAACCCTGCTTCTCTTTAAGCCAATTTAATTATGCAGTGTTCCTTCTAAATGTAAAAGATCAGATTTTTCTATTTACAATTCTACCAATTCTTATGACCTAACAATGCCCCTCGAATTAATTGTATTTCAATTTTAATAAATATGGGTCTCTGACCATACACAATTTCCTTTTGTTCAAGGCTTTGTTCACATGGATTCAAGTATTAAGGTATTGCTGCGCGTTGATGGATCGTGGGACAATCTTGGAAATTTCACTTCGAAACACGACACTGTTATTCATGTCCATAACGAAGCCTCACTAAGAACACTCTTGGACACTGTCAAGGCAGACATTTCAATGGATTGGACTCAAAATGACATTCGGTTCTCCTACATGGTTGCCTTGTGTCCGCCGCCTATCGTCATTGTGGACGACGCTGAACTTTTGTTCTATCTGAAGTTGAAGTCCCACCAAACCGACTTGTCATATCTGCCATTATGCATGGAGTTTTTGCCTACTGCCACAGCTACTCATCTGAGTGCCCAAGCCAATCCCTCGTACGAACCAAGCGAACTAAGTGAATGCCAATACCTACAATCATTCATGCCAAATGAATTCTCAAATGCCAATTCCGATCCCTCAAACAACACCAATCGAACCAACCGAACTAAACGGAGGATTTTCCCGTCAAATTCGGTGGACATTATTTCACACTATCACCCAACCACTCTTCAAATTGACAGCATTTACAAGTCCAAGGAAGACTTATGCCATCATCTCAGAATGTATGCGGTGTCTAATAATTTCCAGTACAAGACAAAGAGGTCAAATAGGACATTGTTGCACGTTGTCTGCATTGATGTCCGGTGTCCATGGGCAGTTCGTGCCGTTCGTCTTGACAACTCTCCCTTATTTCAGATACGCAGGTAAATACTATTTTCCTAAAAGATGTTTGGATGTTAACATAATAAACAGACTCACGGTGTGCATTCACTTAAATATGAAAACCAGTATATGCATGCTTGTGTTCCAATTCTGCAAACCAATTACATCCATTGCAACCAATGTCTTTCGGCAGTGTCCCCCACACATTTGTGCACTATCACTCATAAACACTTCACACATTGCATACAAATCTCATTAGAAAACATGACGGAATCTGTGTCGCACTGTGCACTCACTTCCATATCATTTCATGTTATCAGACGCGTGTAGTCCAATTTTGAAATTTATGCTCATACACAGCACAAATCAGCAAGTGTGGGAAAACCCCACAGCCACAATGTTGACCACAACACTGCCATAGCATCCACTGCATTTCCAAAATTGTCAGTCAAAACACAAAATAGAGTACACACACTAGCATTACTAACTTAAAGAACATCACTATTATGAAAATGCAGAACTTAACATTCCTATAACGCTATCACTACACACCATGCTTCGCTGTAAAATCACTATTCCCATCGGTCATATGATTTTTTTTTGGCAGGTTTGATTCATATCATTCGTGCCCTGTTGACTTCCGGGAAGGTGATCACAGACAAGCAACGTCAGCATTCTTGGCCGATCTAGTCCTCCATCGGTATGTCGACGCAACCAGAAAACAGTACCCCCCAATGACATACGCGACGACATGCGAAGGGAGTTTGGCATTGCGATGTCATATAGGAAAGCACTTCTCGTGAAACAGAGGGCATTGACCAAGTTGTATGGCTTGGACGAAGATTCCTACCAATTACTACCATCTCTATGTTATATGTTGGAGACAAAGAATCCAGGCTCTTCTATTCATTTGTCTACGTCTGACGACCAGAGATTCAAATATTTGTTCTTCTCTTTAGCCCCGTGGAAACAAGCTTGGAATCATTGTTCCCCAGTTCTCGTTATTGACGGGACATTTATGAAATCCTATTACAAAGGAACACTACTAACTGCTTGCTGCCAGGATGCCAATAAACAGGTGTCCCCATCGCCTTTGGTGTATGTGACGCAGAAGACAAGGACTCTTGGTTGTGGTTTCTTACTCATTTGAAAAGCACCCTGAACGCAAGGCATGATCTGTATATTGTGTCTGACCGCCACGAGGGAATCATTCATGCAGTTCAGAATGTATTCCCGAATGTAGGTCATGGTTTTTGTACAGAACACATTGCCCGAAACCTGCGTGTCAAATTCAAAGGTCCTAAAGAAGACCTGACCTGGAAGTTTAGGAAAGCATCACGTGCAGCTACTGAGGCAGAGTGCGAGGAGTATCTTCAAATGCTGGATGAACAAGACCATAGAATACGTGCATACCTATCCAAAATAGGTCAGCCGCGATGGGCACGTTGCAAAAGTGGGCCATACCGGTACTCCGTAATGACTTCAAACGCTGCAGAATCAATGAACAATGTCAACAACTCGGCACGCGAATACCCCATTTGCAAGCTAGTCGATTTCATTCGCGAAAGGATGTAGAAATGGTTTCATGAACGGCTTCAAACAGCTTCATCTACAACAACCATTCTACCAAGGAAGCTCGAGTCGGAGCTAATTACACTACAACGTGATGCATTCAGGATGAAGGTATACCTTCCTTAACCACCTAAATAGTATACATATTAAATAATAAAAAAAATGCAACACTTTCATTCATTCCATGTAACATTTCACGGTTAACAACCCTTATTGCAACAGGTTAAGCCAGCTTCCCCATACGAGTTTGAGGTTGTTGACAGGTGGTCCCGGGCTTTTGTTGTTAACCTCAGAGACAAGTCGTGTACATGCGGTGATTTTCAGTTGGACCATTTTGTATGTGTCCACGCTGTAGCAGCAATTGGATCTCGTCCAGGACTGCCATGTTACAATTTCATCTCACCATACTACAAACGCGAATCATTGGTAGCCACCTACAGCGGTATTGTGCACCCATTAGGCGACCAATCTACTTGGTACATCCCGCCGGCTGTCAAAGCCCTTGTCTGCAAGCCCCCATCATGCAACAAACGCCCACCTGGGAGGCCAAAGAAGCGGAGGCTGCCATCCGTTGGTGAATTCCACTTGGGCAAAGGTCGGAAAAAACAGAAGTGCACAAGGTGCTTGAAGATGGGACATAATATAAAAACATGCAAAAATCCAATACCAACATGACAATGGCTGTATTTTTTTGTTTGCATGGATGTGTTGCACGTCAAATTTCCTTCCACTACCCATAAGATAAATAACACATTCTTTAAATTACCCTGAATGAGTACACATTTTTTTGCTTGGTGCCATTGTGTTTTAATTCCCTAACCGGTACAATAAACAAGTTCAGTTTGAAAATGCATATGGAATGCACTGCCAACATACATTAAAAAAACAAAGGAAGTAATACAACAAACACACCATGCACCTGGAACTCCTACCTTACTGACAGATTCATGCCTCATAAACTACCCTATACGGGGGAAGTGTAAAAATAACACACAACACAACACACACACACATATAACCAATTAAATAACAACATAAAAACACTAATAAAAAAATTCACCACGGAAATCACGGGGTGAAAACCTGAAATTGAATACTGATAAACTACTACAATGTCATAATGTTGGCTGTGTATCCCAAATCAACCAATAACATCAGACAAACAACCACATTTCCCTGTACTTCCAATCAAACACTGCCGTTACCCCACGAGTACCAACCAAACACTGCCGTTAGCCCATTCCAATCAATCATACTGCCAAACGAAACAAATCACACAATGGCAGTATAGTATTTAAGACGTACCCCGCATATAAATCGGGACAACATACCAAACACAAACAGAAACTTGGAACCATACGACACACTGCCATACCACAATTACAAAAAAAAAATCAACACTCCCCACACTACCAAGCAAGACATGTGAAGTGTGTCAGATCATTTATAGTAGTGAACCTCCGCGCCAGTCTACACGGGGAAATGTGCTCACACATATCATTTTCCAAGCAGCACAAAAGATAGTGTAAACCGATTTAACACTTCCAATCAACCAACACTTCAAAAAAGAACAGTAACAGACCACCAAACCAAACGATAAACATGAACGAATCACTAATAACCAATACGGCAATCACACAATACCAACACTAAAGTAACAACCACACTCAAACACCAACCGTTCGTAGTCCATAACAAGGACAACACATCACAATGTCTGACTTAATAAATATCAAAAGACAAAAAAACAACTAATCAAAACGACAAAAATACCGTACCACCAATTCAACAAAAAACAACATCACATTTCAAATCCTGAGACACCACATAATAGAAACTGCCCCCATCCCAAAAAAAAAACTGTCCACACCATGCAGAAACATTCCAAATAATTTCACACCCTAAGGCTATTTGTCTTCGGCCTTCTCTTTCAGCTCGTTACTGTATACTATGAGCTCCGTAGTCATCTTAACCCGGTACCCTTCCATGTCGCGTGCATGAACATCAGAAATTTTTCTATCCATCATTAGATACTCTGCAAACTTCAACATAAACATCCCACAGTTGCACCTGCAGTTTAAAACATAATCGTTAACATCAATAATCATCCGGCTATTTTCAAACAAATTGGAATGCAACTTTAGTCGTTATGTTCCAAATGAAAATTTACCACATACCCATCATCTTGTTGTGGACACCCATCAACGACCTCGATATTGAACTTCTTTTTCCCCATTGGGCCTTCCGAGTGCTCATCATATACACTCAACAAATCAAGCAGGACAAGCAGCAACTCGGTGATACATTGCATGTATTCGTTCAATGCCCGACAACTCTTTCCCTTCCTTCCTTTTGAATCGTATACCCGTATTGTCCTCCCTTCAACTTCCAGGACAAGCAACATCCAGTGGTCACTGGTATTCAAGGGCATATACACAAAATCACACTCAGACCATGGCCTCGAATATGCCCGTGCTAACCCCAGCACCTCACTGCTTAGATTCCGATTAGTGACAACTTCCTCCTTTTTCGCCTTGCCAACATTTACCATTGCTTGGTGATTATACAACCCTTGCAAGAAGTAAGGGGTTGCAGTTGTGTACATCTGCAGGAGGTTATACTGCCTACCCTTCACTTCCAGGAAATGCATTGCTATTTCAACATGCTGTATAAAAACACATCGCACACAATTCAGTAATTAAAAAAAACACAAACACACATGTCTTATCATTGGAACGGCCTAAAATGCATACAGACCACACTTCCAGATACACTCACCCACAACTATGCCGCACGATGACATGCCACAAAATGGGAAAAAAACAAGAGCCAATATATACCAAAGAAAAAACCGCCCCCCCTCCCCCTGTGCTTTTTAGATAAAAATCTTCACTCACTAAACTCAAACTACTCAAAGCAATTACACACCCATCCCATAACAATGCCAAAGTACCTAATAAACACACCACCTTACTGCCACAGTAATAACAGCTAAAAAACACATAAAAACACCTTAATATGCATCAAAAAACACCAGCCACACCATTCTACTAACCCCCTCGAATGTCCCCGACATTACAACAAACCACTACCCAAAGCAATTACTAACTCATCCCATAACAATGCCAAAGTACCTAATAAAGACACCACCTTACTGCCACATTAATAACAACAAAAAA